CAACTGTTTATTAAATGCCTACTGTTCAGGGAGACAACAGAAATATAAAAGATACAGTCTCAGTCCTTGGGGATATAAGCATTCATGAAAAGTTAATAATATAAGGTGTCATAAGGAAGAGCATGATTAATAATTGCCAGATAAGTGGCAGAGCCAGTGAGATGTCTGGGTTCAAAGGAGCTGGTGATGAGTCTGAGCTGGAAACGCCTAGGAAGAGTTTGTACAGGAGAGAAGAGACTTTGAAAGATGGGTAGAATTGAAATAGGCAGAAGAGTGCAACATTTATCACGTGCCTGTTCTGTATGAGCCATTGTGCCAGGCATTGGGATACAGAATTGAATAAGATGTAAGCTATATTAAATAAGACATATTCTCTTGGCGTGCTGGCAGTCTAGTGAGGGAGATGTTGTTGTAAATAAATAATATATAATGAGTTAGGTACAGAGTACTATTGGAGCTGTAAAGAAGGAATTGACTATCTTACTTGGAGAGAAATCATCACTGAGAGGATAAATGTTTTGAGATGGACCTTGAAGGATGTGTAGAATTTCTCCATACAGAAAGTCTGGGGTAGAGAAAACATTTTCTGGTAGAGAAAAAGCAGCACAAAGGCACGGAGTTTGAAAAAAGCATGAAATGTGTGATAGTAGTGTGTAAAGTGCTTGGCAAGGAGTGGCAGGAGATGAAGTTGGAAAGGATTTTTCGTATGCCAAGTTGAGAAGCTAGAATTTAAACAAGCAATATTACAGCCTGTGAATGATTAAGAACATGAGCTCTGGAGTCAGACTGCCTAGGTTTGAATCCTAACTCTACCACTTAATAACTCTCTAACCTTGGACAAGATACATAATATCCCCAAGCCTCAGTTTTCTCATCTGCAAAATGGAGTTAATAAAGCATTAATATCATGAGATTTTTGTGAGGATTAATGGAGACACTGCATGTAAAGTATGTACCACAGTGCCTGGCCTGGCACATGATAAGCACTCAACCATTGGTAGCCATCATCATTATTATTATTGAAGGTTTTAAAGTAGAAGAGTGACCCAGATCTTGGTTTTTGAAAGCTAATTCTGGTAGTGTTGTGTGCAATGAATAAATAGAAGGGAAGAGGCTTCAAGTAGGGTGTCTAGTTTAGAAGAGTAACTAGAGAGGTGACCAAGACATGAATTAAAGAAGGAGAGAAACTAGATATGACACAGTTTCCAAGTAATATTAGGTAGATGTACTGGATTGGTGATTGGGTATAGGAATGAAACAGGTGGAAGGGCAAAACTTTTTTCAGAAACACTAATCAGCTAATTTTGCTTTAGGGATTGAGCTAGGACAATCGTAGCTGGAGGCAAAGATTGGAATAATACGTGAAAGACTGGGATGGGTTAAAATTTAAAGGACCTTGAAAATAAGATTTAGGTTTTCTTTTTATTAATCTTTAGGCATTAAGAAACTACCCAAAATTTTTGAGTAGGTTAATTTAGCTGTTCTTTGTACAATTAAGGGGAAAGAAGAGTAGAGATTAGATTGTTCTAGTAAACAAAGTGATAAGAACTTTAACTAGCATTGCAGCAATGGAGATGTAAGAAAATGAAGAGAATTTGAAGAATCAAAGGACTTGGTGTCCAGAAAGAGAACACTGACATCAAAATTTTAAGTGTGAAGAACACAGTGGTGATACCATAACAAAAAATAAGCCAGGAAGGGGAATCAGTTTTGAGGGAAAGGTATTGTAATCAAAGAACTACCATAAATTAAAAGAGACCCAAGGGAATACTTTGAAATTTTAAAGGAAATGCTGCTAGATGTATTGAATCTTCCCTTAGAGTCTGTGGCCAACTCATGCTTCCACCCCTGGCAAGTGAATGGGTTAATAACATTTTTCATGAACAGAAAAGTGACCTCTCCAGTCAGCAAAGAATTGTCAGTGTGTTGGTACAAGCCAGATAGTACTGGAGCAGCTGTCTGAAGACCTCAATTTCAACCATGGCTCTACCCCTTACTAGTTGAAATTAAATTCTCTGAACCTGTTACCTCATTTGTGAAATGGAGATAAAACCTGCCCTACCAAACTCACAGGGTGTCTTTGAGAATCACATAGGATTATGTCTGAAAATCCTTTGTAAATTGTGAATAAAATGTTATATATTGTCATTACTACCCAGATTTGTGTGAAGATAAGTATTTTAAAACTATATCATTAATTCAATAAACATTTATTCATACCTATATTCGAATCACTAGGTATGTAGAGATGAAAGCATAGCCCCCTCCCTTCAAGAAACTCATAAGGGAGACAGATATTTACAGTGCCGTGATATAAGTGGGCAATCATATGCTGTTCTGTGGGACCACAAAGAAGGGCTACCATTAACCTAGGCTGGGAAGATCTGGAAAAGTTTTCAACAATAGGAATATCGGAAATGAGGTTTAAAGACAAGAAGTTAGTTTAGAAGACAAAGGATGGGAGGAATAGCATACTCCAAAAAATCAAGTAGAGCATGCAAAGTATAGAGATGAAGAAGAGTGATGTAGTTTAAGAAATGAAAATAAGTCAAAGTGTCTGCAGTGTAGGCCATGTCTGGAATGTGAGGTAGTGGTAAAATATGAGAGTGGGAATGTAGGCATGGGCCAGATCACAAGAGACCACATATGACATTAAGGTGAAGATACGGATTTTATTTAATGAAGCCAGTCTTGAAGCAGGAGAATGTTGAGATTTTTGAGTTTTAGAAAGGGTACCCTGTGAGTATTGTGGAGCATGGGCAAAATTTAAGATTGCAGTAATTCTAGAAAAAAATTAAGTCCTTATTCAATTGTTCTGGGGCCCAAAGGGACAAAACAGATCAGCAAGTTATTTAGGACCTATTGGCTATGTAGGAAGAGGAAGAGGGAGCTGTCTAGGAGCATTCCCAAATTAGTTGGGTAAATGTATTGGTAACAGTTAAGAGGGAAAGACAATGCATTCGATTTTGGACCTATTAAGTTTGAGATATCTATGGAACATCCAAGTGGAGATATTTGATAGTTGAATATGGATCTGGAGTTTAAGGGTGAGATATGGACTCAAGTGATCTATTTGTTATTCCTCAAAATACAGATGCTAGGTGAAGCTGTAGATATGAATGAGATTTTTAATTTAGGGTAGTGTGAGAAGAGGGTCAAGGACAGAACCGTAGGGCACACTGACATTTAAGGACCAGAAAAAGGACTGAATTCATTAACCAGGCCAATCAGGTATGACCAGAGAAGTAAGAGGAAAACTAGGTGAATGATTTCAGGAACCCGAGAGAGAACAGAGTTCCAAGGTACAGGAATGAGAACAGAACCCAGATAAATGTGGATTGAGGAAGATGGATAAAAGGTGAGAAAATGAAGATAACAATTTGGGTAGATCCATTTGTCAAAACAAGATATAAATGGCAGAAACTACAGGGATAGGAATTAAGGGAGAGTTACTAGTTTTTAAGACTGCAGAGATTTAAGTATGCTTACCTGCTCAAAAGGAGCCTTGGTGGCACAGTGGTTAAGAGCTCGGCCACTAACCAAAAGGCCAGCAGTTCAAATTCACCAGCCGCTCCTTGGAAACCCTATGGGGGCAGTTATACTGTGTCCTATAGTGTCATTATGAGTTGGAATCAACTCGATGGCAACGAGTTAACAGGATCTGCTCAAAGGAAAGACCCAATAGAGAGTAGAGGTAAAAGAAACAGGACAGGAGTATGTGGAGGGAGGATGGTTGAAGTAAAGAGGTAGAGGGAAATGGGATTCAGATAAAATGCTTAGTATTTGATAGAAGGAATACCTCTTCACTGAAAAGAAATAGACGAATACTAGTGTAGATGTGGATGGAAAGGGACAAGAAGGTGAAGTTTTGGTCTGAAGGCCTTGATTTTCTCTGAAATTGGAAGCAGCACTGATTACTGAGTAAGATAAATGGGCAAAGGGCTGAAGGAAGATGTGACCATTTGAAATCTCCATTGAGGAGAATGGGAAAGGGCACAGGCTAGAATGTGTAGTGGAATTGCTGGAAAGTGCCAAGGGCCAGCAAAAGTTGGAGATCATGAGTTGTAGTAACACTGAACCATTTTGATGATTTTATGCTTAGCACTTAAGTTTAGACATTAATTCATCCAAAAATTGGGGTTTTGCCTGACAGATACAAAAGAAGGACAAAAAGGCAAGACAATTAAGGATGTTGTTTTAAAAGTGGGTGGATGGTGGAATAACTTCAAAATTGTAGGAAGTAATGGTAGCCAGAACGGGTTGATAAGAAGGAGCTGTCCAGGTTCTTGGCACAATAGAAGAAGGATATAATAGGGAATGAAATTGGAAGGAAAGGAGAGTTTGATCGTGAAGTGAGAGATTGGAGTCCAGGATTTCAAAGGTGGAGCAGTAACTATGGCCAAGGCTGTGAGGCACTGAAGTAGAGTGGAACCTCAAGCCTCTCAGTTCTTAAGTTTTACATAGGTCATCCACATGGACATTGATGATGATGGAACTTAGAAGGCTTATGAGCCAGGAACCTGAGTTTAGAATGAATGTGGGAGATAACCAGAAGTTTAGTAAATAGCAGGGACAAGGTAAAATAGCTAGAAGGCATGAACCTTAAAGGAGGAAACATTTTTTTTCTTCAGTGGGGTGATGATTTGGAAGTACTTAATGGAAAGCTAAAAGAAGGCCGAAGTGTACTCTGCTGAGAGTCATAGAGTGTGGAAAAATGGGTGGCATCCACTTTGAAAAGACTGGGAAGAGGTGTCTTTCAGGGAAACCAAGTTTTATAAGCTAAAGAGATGAAGACAGCCTTCTGAAGAGCCAGAGTAAGAGAAAGAGAGAGAGTGTGTATGTGTTGGGGAAGAAAGGTGTTTAGCTTTTTTTTTTTTCCTTAGGAATTCTGGAAGGTTCAATGGAAAGGATTGAGAGAGGAGACAGTCAGAGGATGGCATGGTGATGTAAAGAAAAACAGCAGAATTCAAAAGTATGGATGACGGGGGGACTTTATTTTGGGTAGTTGTCAAGGATGGCAATCAGGCATCTCAGTGACACTTCGGAGTAAAGTTGTTCAGCTGGTACAGGCTACCCCCTAGTTGGTATTGAAGACTTCATAGGGCTCATAGTTTTCAGCCTTTGCTTAGAGTTGGGGTACATAGTTTCTATGATCTTCACTCCCATTTTGCCTCAGTCCCTGATCAATCTGTGTCCGTGGTTTATTTTTCCAACTTCCTACTTAAAAACTTATTTTTTAGCTACCATACATTAAATGTGAGTGAAAATACCATATGAATGTTATTAATTGCTATACAGATATGCCCTTCATGCCAAAATTTGGGTGAAAGAAAATTTTTAAACAGAACAGTTTGGTCAAAATTCATATATTAAAACCAAATCAAATTTTAGGTTGTCCCAAGTAATCCTCCATTATTAGTCATTTTTGTTATTGGCCATTTACATGGTTCTGGTTTTTTTCTTATCACAAGTGTAGAAGAGTAGGAAAAATAGTCTGAAAGAAAATAACTTTGGAAGAGCAGAAATAATTTAAAAAAATTAGTAGTATTAACAAAACCTTAAAAAACCTGAAAATTAGATAAAATGCTTTAAAATGCCTTCAGAGTTGTAAAAGAAAGTAGTTGAGAATATTAATTTTTGGTGGAAAAAAAATTTTAACCCTCTGCTGATTAACTTGGAGCCTTGCTGGTGCAGTGGTTAAGCATTTAGCTCCTAACCAAAAGGTCGGCAGTTTGAATCCACCAGCCGCTCCTTGGAAACCCTATGGGGCGGTTCTGCTCTGTCCTGTAGGGTCACTATGAGTTGTAATTGACTTGACGGCAATGGGTTTGGTTTACTGAGCAACTTACTTTAGGCCAGATTCTATTTGGTCAGTTTTCTTTTGCCAGGACAGATCACCTGTTGAAGCTCCTTTCTCCAACTGTCAAACAGTACTATATATGCCTTTTTTCTCTCTTGTTTTCTTGTTCACTGATATATCAAAACTTACTCTTTTGCATCTCCCTATTCTCCACTTTGTGAAGTTATTACAGCACTGATCCTTCATAGTTTTCACCCATGAATCTACGGCATGTCTCCATCCCTCAACCTGTACCCATTTCTTAAAGGTATGCCAGCTGGTTTTGAACTGTGAAAGTATGCCTTGAGTTGAAGAAGAAGTAGACAAACTTAGGTTTATAGATAACTAACTCATGGGCATGAAGGCAGTTTATACTTTTTTTTTCAGGTGAATAAAGACATTCTGGCTCTTAGTTAACCAAGCATCAATACCTCAGTGTGACTTGAGGTGGAGTATTCACAGTGTGTGTAAACAGTACCACTTGTATCTAGCTGAGTTGGGGGAGGAGGGAGGAGTCCCCACGTAGGTTTTTAGGAAGTTCTGTATTTTGAACAGAATTCAGCCATTAGTGGAATTAATGTTGTTGATTGTTAGGAAGTACATATGGTCTAGAATACAGCATCCTAAATCAAATAATAATGGAGTGGAGTGATAAAAAGATCCTTTTCGCTTGATGAGAAAAACCACACGATCCTGTCTTGGTCTCAGATATTTGTATTTAAGAGATAGTTAACCTTCTCATGTTTTAAATGTTCCCAGAGCAACTTTTGGTTTATTTAATAATCAATTTGTTATATTTTATATTTTTGAAGTTTACTGATCGGTGGCAAGTTTGATTGTAGCATAATATATAATGGGAAAAACATTTTAACTGAGGATTTTATTTTGTTAGAATATAGGAATACTATATTTGGGGCAGTAAAATGTATTTTAATGTCTTGTTCTAGATGCAATAAAAAGTAATCGGAATAAATGTATTTGTAATGAAGGGAAAATAAGCAAGTTCAAGTTTTCTTTTACTAAGTAGCAAAAAAAAAAAAAAAAGATTGGTGATTTCAGAAGTTTTAGAAGTTATGGGCCTTAGCTCTTACCTTACTTCTAAATGATAGAGTTCCTCCTATATTTTTTTTCTGCGTATGAGAACGTGGTTATTTATTCCCTCTTAGATAATTGATATAATTCTAACCATGCTCCCTTTTTTTAGTTACTTTGTTTAAGTTGAAATATGAAGGAGAAGTTGGTCCTATACATTCCCTGGCTTCCATATAATAATTGATAATCACAATAGTGACCCTTAAACAACAAGAAAATACTATATACTGTATACCCAAATATAGTGAGTTTTTTCCTAAAACAGTTTTTTTCCCAGAAAAGAGGGAGTTGCCTTACGTTTGATTCTGTACATAGACTCTTACTATAAATTTCTGTCACACTTTCTTTATTTTGAAAAACAAAGTACTGTTTGAGACAGAGCCTGAAACTACTTAAGTTGAAGCTGATTTTGCAATGCATAAAGAGATCACTTGCTGGAATCAGTAAAAAAGGAATCAAATAAATGTAACAGATACTTAGTAATTTTTCATAAGTGTATGACCTCAAAATTGTGCTAGATAGTATTGAAAACAGGCCTTTTTTATTCCATTCAACAAATATCACTTAAACATAGTACATTTGGTGATTAGTTTATAAAAGTCATAAATACACACTAAAAAAACAAACCAAACCTGTTGCCATTGAGTCAGTTCTGACTCATGGCAACCCATGTATGTCAGAGTAGAACTGCACTCCATAGGGTTTTCAATGGCTATAATCTTACGGAAGTAGATCACCAGACTGTCCTTCCCTGGCGCCACTTAGTGGATTGGAACTACCAACCTTTTGGCTAGTAGCTGAGCACAAACCATTTGTGCCACCCAGGGACCCTAAATGCACACTACAGGAGTGAAAAAGTCAACCATTTCAGTAGTTAGACAGATAGCAACTTGGGGTTTGGGATAGATTTGTAGTGATAGCATTTTCCACATACTAAAGAAGTGCTGCATGTCAAGCAACTTAGATGGAAGTGAAGATAATTTGCTCTCAAAAGTGTATCAGATGACTCAAGAAGTGACTCCAGTGATACGGAATACACTGATTTCAAAGATGTGCATAAAGATTTTGAATAAAAATGTTTTGTGAAACAAAGTAGGAGAACAATATTTCTAAATTATTAGAATTTATTAATATTATTTTAAAGCCATATGTAGAACTAAATATTAATTTCATAAGTAAGAATTTGACTTTCATCTCTATCCCTAAAAGTTTATTTTCAAGTTGACCAACAAACATTGTTTTTTATGTTCTTTATTAGGAAAATAGTGAATAACTTTATATTTGGGATTTCTTTCTGTTCAAACTGATGTGGTATTAAATTGTATTTATTGTGCATTTAAGGTGAAGAAGTAAATAATACATTTTCAGAGTTCTGCGAAAAAGATGTTTTGGCTTAAAGAAAAAAGCTTTAGTTATCTGGAAAGAACTTTTAAATTTTATGAGACAATTCATTCCTTTAATAATTCTCAACAAAGAACACATTATATACAGATTACTAAAAGTAATATAATTTGATTACTCTTTTAGAAAAAAAAAATTTTTTTTAAATTAACACCTTATATGTTGGATAGTTTGTCTGCCGAACAAATGGCCAAGAAACAAAAACTTCTACTTTTCGATCTTCACGCTTATTTAGTTTTTATGTTACTATGTCAGTAGTGTTTTATCTTTTATTAATTACAAAAATTTCAGCTGTCCCTTTCCCACCAACACATCGCTTGACTTCTGAAGAAGTATTTGATATGGATGGGATACCCAGGGTTGATGTTCTGAAGAACCATTTAGTAAAAGAAGGTCGGGTAGATGAAGAAATTGCACTTAGAATTATCAATGAGGGTGCTGCCATCCTTCGGAGAGAGAAAACCATGATAGAAGTAGAAGCTCCAATTACAGGTACACTTATTTATGTTTTGGATATAATTTTTATAACATCATTATTGCCTGGATATAAAGCTTTTTCCTCTTTCATCATATCTTACGCTAAATTAATATTACGTGGACATTATCTTGAATTTTTTAATTATTTTCTGTAATTTTTAGTTTTTAGTTCTTCAGTGAACAAACATAATCCTAAATCTGAGTGCAGAAGTTAGTCTAATATGCTTTTGTGAAAGGTTCATCGGTTGTGTTGGCCATACTTCAATTTGATATAACAAATAATTTACTTTGCTTTCAATCATTAAGGGCACATACTTCAATGTCATTTAAAATACCAAAGGTGATCATTTAGAGGTCAACAGAAAGTATTGAGTTAGAATGGAGATTTTACTGCTACCATTATAATTTTGTCATCCTAAAACTTAAACATATCCTTGGCTCCCTAAAGAGGCGCTCTATAAATTTAGATGAAAAATTTGTCACTGACCACAAATTTTGGTATTTCTGTTCCATCTTGTTACAGATCTTGAGCACATGAACAGTTGGTTACACATCATCCCTATCATAATCTTCATAGACCACGTCCTTCTCAGACATTTCTTGATAGCATTTACACTATCTCTTATATTAAAGAAATTAGAATTTAAGTAAAATTTGTTATTTCAGAGTTTTTTTCATATCTAATAATCTTCTTGTTTCAGTGTGTGGTGACATCCATGGCCAATTTTTTGATCTGATGAAACTTTTTGAAGTGGGAGGATCACCTGCTAATACACGATACCTTTTTCTTGGTGATTATGTGGACAGAGGTTATTTTAGTATAGAGGTAATAATCATATACTGTCATTTGATTTGCTGTTAAGTATTGACATAGATGGTTTCCATTAATTCCTGGTAAAATAAGTTCCTTAAAGTACCTGTGTTGGGTTCTTTATAAAACCTGTGTGTATTTTGAGTTCATTTGCTTGTTTTTTAAGCCACTACTTATTTCTTCTCTAAAACCATTCAGTTTATTTTCTTTGTATTCTCTGTTTATTTGTATTTAATTGTATGATTATAATTGCCATTTTTCCCATTGGTAATCATGAGCAGACTGAGAGCTCTTTATTGCCCTGTTATCTGGTGATCCAAAGGAGCTAGTGCTACTCTTGCCTCTTAGAACATGAACCTATGTGAAAAAAGATGAATTGAATTTCCTCTGATTAAATAAAGCATATTGTGTTAACTTTATTATTTAGACTGTAGTTTTTCTATGTTTTAAGTAGCTATTAAAACCCAAGTATGTCGTGTAGAATCTTGTGTGTACTGGAAGTATTCATTTGTTTTTAAAAAAAACTTAAGAGGCATTAAAAATGACCTGTTGATCATCATTTAACAGTAGATAGTTTTTTTGCTCCTCTTTCTTTTCTAATTATATAAATAAGATATGGTAAATATATGACAATCTGTATTTTCTGATATATGCCTCTCTCTCTTTTTAAAAACAAAAAGGGACTGTACCATAATATTGTTCCATAACTTGCATTTTTCATGCATCCCTGCAACAGTAGATGTCCTTCCAAGTCAGTAAATACAAATCTGCAGCATCATTTTTAATAGCTGCATTATATTCTACCAAATAAATGAAACTGTTAATTTAATCAAATCCTTATTGTTAGAAACTTGGAATGTTCTCAGTTTTTCCATTATAAATAATGCTTCAGTGAGCCTTGTTATACATGTATCTTTGCATACTTGCCCAGATTCCAGAGATTGAAGTGCTGGGTCAAAGCTCTACAATAGATACTTTTTATAAATCTGTGTTGAGCATTTAATGTATGCCAAACATGGTCTAAGCATTTAACACATATCAATTAATTTAATCCTTAACAACAAAGCTATAATGTTGTTATGCCCATTTTATAGATGAGGAAACTGAGGTTCAAAGAGGTAAAGTAACTTGTGCAGGGTCACATTGTTAATAAGCGGTGCAACCAGCCAGTCTGATTCAAGCCTATGCACTTTTTTTTCCCCAAATTTTATTTTGTTGTTGTTGAGAATATACACAGCAAAACATACACCAATTCAACAGTTTCTACATGTACAATTAGTGACATTGATTACATTCTTCGAGTTGTACAACCATTCTCACTCTTCCATTTTTGAGTTGTTCCTCCCTCATTAACATAAACTCACTGTACCCTGATGTTCCTATCTATCAAGTTGCTGTTGTCAGTTTGATCCCATATCAAGCCTATGTGCTCTTAACCAGCTCTCTCAGTAGATATTGAAGCCTTACCTGGTGAATTTTCGTGCGGATTACTGTTGTTTATACCACCTTCTCCAGTGTTTTCAACATAACTTCCTTTCTGAAGTGTGCTAGGATTTCTGTTGGGGAAAGGAATTCAGGGCTCTGTCTGTCCTGCTTCTTCCCTTAGGAATTTTATTATCCTGAATTCTTCTTCCCATTTATAGTTTCATTATCAACTCCCTCCATCTTCCTTGAATTATATCAGGGTTTCAAGAAAGCCAGTAGAATTTGACAAACAGTTTTAGGAAATTTAGTTGGTAACTAAGCATGTTTGTGTGTATTGAAGCATTATGTAGCTAACTCATTTAATACAACATTTTGTTATAAAATGAAAATAATGGAATCAAAGAGTAAGAACAGGTTGAGTTTATTAAGTATTGCTCTGTTGTATTATTTTTTTCTTGTGAACTAAATGAAGGTATGAATACTTACACATTTCAATATATCTGTTAAATATATTTCTTTATATTTATTATGTATAAATATAAAAATGTTCAGTATACTTGTTAAAAATAAAGTTTGTTTCTTCTTTTTGTATATGGTTATATTATAAACCATGTGTATTTCCAAACGAAGTAGTCTTCCTTTTTTTTTTTTTAAACAAGTAAGTAAAATGTGAGTCTGTTTCTTACATTAAATCTATTTAGAATAACGCATCTGCTGGCATAAATTAAACTGTTACACTGTTATTAGATACTCTTTTTATTTAAAAAATTGCATTTTCTTTAAATCAGTTTAGGTAATAGACATCTACCTTATGTAAGGCAACATTTATAATTGTGAGAGTTAACAAAACAAACATAAAACATGGGCCGTTACCTTCCTTAGACCGCATGGTATAATGCTTAAGATCAGAGGTGTAGAATCCTGACTTCATTACTTAAGAGTTTTGTGATTTTGAATGAGTTACTTAATGGCTCTTTGTTCTAATTTCCTCATTTTGTAAACTAGAGATAACACTACATACTTCATAGGATTGTATGAGGAGTAAATGAGGGAAATTATATAGTGCTTGGCACATTGTAAGTACTCAGTAAAAGTTAGCTGCTGTTATTTTTAACATTATATATTTTTATTTATTAATATACCTAAAGAGGACACACCAATCTGGTAATTGTTTTTATAATGAGCAATTTGTAAATCTAAAGTAATTAAATAGATTATTTAGTTCATCCATTTAGCAAACATTTATCGCTCTTCTGTTTGGTAGGTACTCTTTTTATTAGTGGAGATACAGAGTGAATAAAATGACGAAGTCCCTGATTTCATGGAATTCATATTTTAATAAGGGACAGAGAGAGAGAATAAAGAGTAAAGGAGATGGAAAGGGTAATAGGGTTAGAGGAAAAGGAGCAAAGATTAAACACATTAAACAGAAATACAAGAAAAATTCACTGAAAACATTTTCTTTTACAGTGTGTCTTATACTTATGGGTCTTGAAGATTCTCTACCCAAGCACATTGTTTCTTCTGAGAGGCAACCATGAATGCAGACACCTTACTGAATATTTTACCTTTAAGCAGGAATGTGAGTACTACCAGGAGAAAATATTTCCCTTCCTCGGTATTCTTTTGGAATGATGTGGGTAGTAAGAGTTATGAAGACTTTACAATGCAACATGTAAGAACAGATTTTTGTGTCCATAAAGCTTTGAGGAAGATTCTCAAGAACTCTCTAGTGCTTAATGGCATTTAATTAGAAGTTTCATTTCAATATGAAATTAAACTGTTAAGTTTGATTTTTACAAATGTACTTAGAACAGTTTTGAGTTTTGTAGATAATTTTAATGTTAAAATTATTTTCCCTAAAAGGAAGAGTAAAAACCAAAAGAAAAAATGTTTTTTGTTGTTGTTGCATTGGAGATTTTTGTCCCCTGATCTTGAGACATTCCCATGAAGATTCTTAACAATGATTTACCTTGTCATCAATAGATAGTTTCACACATGCTAGTCCAAAAACTCAAACCCATTGTTGTCGAGTGGATTCCGACTTAATAGCGACCCTATAGGACAGACTGTAACTGCTCCATAGGGTTTCCAGGAGCAGACTGCCACATCTTTCTCCCATGGAGCGGCTGGTGGGTTCAAACTGCCAGCCTTTCGGTGAGCAGCTAGGCACTTTAACCACTGTGCCACCAGGGCTCCTTAAACGTGCTATTTATGACTTGAAATTCTTACCACGTGTTAACCCCAATTTTTTCGTAAATTGTTATAGCAGTGGTAACGTAATAGCCATAAGCATTTATGTATAGCAGTGTTTGGCCTCTTGTCACACCTTATACCTATGTGCTTGTTAATATTCATGATTGTATTAAGTGTTGGGCTTAAGTTCTAAAAATAGAAATAATTTCAGAATTATTGTGACTTCAAAAGTGATCTAATAAAGATCACATCTGTAGAGACTTGGAGTAAAATATAGTGATGGATAATGGCAGAGGTGGCAATTCATATATCTTCAAGGATCAGGTGGATAGCATAAATGAATATAAGATGAGACTTACAAAGTACATGCTTGACCTAAAAGTAATCAAATTAAAATTTTTTATTAAACCACAGTTTTGTCAGCAGACCACCAGTTTAGAACTTTTGGTTGCTGAATATAGATTTTCTCATATTCGAATATTACAGTATTAAAAGAAATAGGAACTAAGCTCTTATTTTGGTGAGGTAATTAACAAACCATCTATCAAAATCCCATCAAAAACATAAAATATTGAGGAATTTAAAGGTATAAAGGAGGAAAGGAATGTGCATGATGTTTCCCTGAAGGTAAACGACAGCTTGATGTGGTGGAGTTTTGTCTTTCTTGTGTTCCTATATTGGCTCATGCTTCACTGCTCATTTTAAGCATTCATTGTAGAAGAGAGCAACTCCTCAGCACCTCCAACATACGAATATAATCTTTATTTATTTTAATGGGATAGACCTTGAATTTTGTTGTGATGATATAGTGGTCTTGCTTGTGATAGCAATACAGTAGTCACTGACTCTTAGAATAAAATAAGGATTAAAACTATATTAGCCTCAAGTATAGCTCTGATTTCACCGAACTTGGCCTACAGTTATTTTTATATAGATTTTTTTATTTTTAGCAATATTTTATGACTATCTCCTGCATACCCAAAATCAATTTAGAGAGAGCAAACATTTTGTCTTCATAAGACTGATAATATTGTTTACTTTTGTTGATTCTTGTAGCAGAAGATGCTTGCCTTTTTCGTTTGTTTCTGTACAGTAAAATTCACTTTTTGTGCTGTTCAGTTTTGTGAGTTTTGACAGATGCGTATGGTTGTCCACCATAACGCAGAAAAGTTTCAGCACCCCATAAATTCCCTCTTGCTGCCTTTCTATAGTCATCCCTTCACCCACTCTCAACCCATGGCTACCACTTGTCTGTTTTCCATCTCTATAGTTGTCTTGCCTTGGTTTTAATAATCAATTTTATATTTATGTTTTCAGAGTGATCAACTAGTACTGTAATTTTCAATCATTTAATTTTTCTTTTTTTTTAGGTAAAATTAAATATTCAGAAAGAGTCTATGAAGCTTGTATGGAAGCTTTTGATAGCCTGCCTCTTGCTGCACTTTTAAACCAACAATTTCTTTGTGTTCATGGTGGACTTTCACCAGAAATACACACACTGGATGATATTAGGAGAGTGAGTATATATTTTAGTTCCAGGGTTGATTCCTATTTATAATACTATGTTGGATAGAGAGTACAACTTCAGACTTCTCTTCGCTGCCAAGATTAGGTAATGGTAAAACTTAGTATATTGATATTTTAAGGAAATAGCCTTTAATCATTCAGAGCAATGTGATATGGACAGTATTCAAAGTTGGTACCACTTTCCCACATTCTGTCCTCACTTTTTGACAAGTTATTTCTGTTCTTTGTTTCTTTCTTTCACAGTTAGATAGATTCAAAGAGCCACCTGCGTTTGGACCAATGTGTGACTTGCTATGGTCCGATCCCTCTGAAGATTTTGGAAATGAAAAATCACAGGAACATTTTAGTCACAATACGGTTCGAGGATGTTCTTATTTTTATAAGTAAGGAAAAATATCCAAGATTAATCACATTTTAGTTCTTAAAATAGTATATGCTTCATATAGCAAAACATTATTTTACTTAATTTACTCTTTTTCCTCTACAGCTATCCAGCAGTGTGTGAATTTTTGCAAAACAATAATTTGTTATCGATTATTAGAGCTCATGAAGCTCAAGATGCAGGGTAAGAGTTCTGTTTCCCTGACCCAAATTAACACCTTAAATACAAATCAGACTTAGTAACCATGATTGATGCTTTACGATGCATATTAAGCTATTTGTTTTGCAGCTATAGAATGTACAGAAAAAGTCAAACTACAGGGTTCCCTTCATTAATAACAATTTTTTCGGCACCTAATTACTTAGATGTCTACAATAATAAAGGTAAGATGTTGTTGATAAAAAAAAAATGTTACGCAACTTAGCATTTTAATTGACTTATTTTTTAGAAACTATGATAGAAAAAGGGGCATTGTTTGAAACTGTATCTATCCAAATCTCATTATAAAAAGCTATAAGATACAAGGGAGGGGAAAGAACAAGAGATAAAATCCAAAATGTGAAGCTAAGTCATATGTAACCATTCCACAACTTGTCACTCACAAAAGCTGTCTTGTAAAAGAATGCTCTAAGTACTTCAAGTAAAGCCAAACATGATTTTCTCAAACTTTCCTTTTTTAAATCTTCTTTCTCCTTATAATCAAGAGAATATTTTCTTGTTTGCATAAAGCTGTTGCTGCTGTGACCATTTCATTTATTTTCACTGTCTGGTTGTTTAGTTTATCATGTTTCTTGTTTTATGTTCTCTGATCTAGGTTTTCTTTCCCTTTCCTATTCCCTTTTCTTACCTCCAGAGTCTTAAATCACTGCCCTGTGAAGATTTGTAGTTGAGCCTTCTTTGATTAATCCACTCTGACCTTCTTTCAGGGATACATTCTTCTCTTTCCTTCCTTTTTACTGCTCTTCCACCCCTTTTTCTTACATCTTTTTTTCTTTACCTTTTGCTCCAGTGGTTTTTAATATCCTCTCCTTTCAAATTTGGTCTGTAATAATTGAGTTTCATGTAATTTTGAACATAGCTTATTGAATGATAATGCCAAAGGATTGTAATCTAGTTAAGTGTGTGCCAAGGACATTGAAGATGAGATTGGGAATATTTACAGAGTTCACATTTTCAGAAGAGGAAATTAAGAAGCCAGCTCTTATTCTGTCTTGACATGTCTGGAATTCAGTTGACTGTGCCATAGCTTCCAGGGTCAGATGGGAGTGGATGTGCCAGAAAGAAAGAACAGAAGGTTAAAGACTTTTAAAAGTACATTTAAAGAGATAATGAGGTCATTGCTAAATATGGGTCGTGGTGTAAGTTCAGAAGAGAGCAGAGTAAGAGTTTTTTGGGTAACGGGAGGTTATAGTTAAAAGATTAAAATACTTGCCTTGAAATCAGACAGTAGCAGGCTGGATAATAACTTTGATATAGAGTATGCTACAAGAATTTATAGTACTTTAATTACCGAAACAGCCATAACACTGAAGTAAAATGAGTTGCTACTCTTGAGAAATTCTATCAGTGCAGCTTCAGATTATGCCAGTGCTTAAATAATCTTTTAAATTGTATTTTGGTTTATCAATTTTGAAATTTCTGTAACGATATCTAATGAAGTGTGGCTTCATTTTTGAGGCGAAACATGTCTTAAGTTCTAATTCTGTTCTGAAGAATGGAATCAAATACTGCATTTAGCTTTCTTCCAGAGCTCTAATTCTTCAACTGTGACCTCCCCGTGTCAGTTTTAAGGGAGCTAGTTAGTGTTCAGTGCCCAGCTGATTAGTGCTTTACTGGTTGTCCTTTGTCAGAAAGTTAAGGAATCAGTTTTCTTAGTCCTTAGAAAAGAACCTTAAACCATTGAATCTGTCTTGTCAAAATTAAATGTTTCTTGGTATTTTTTAGTCTGGACGTAAATAATGTTAATAATTTGGGTGATTACGTGGTATGGTTATGTTTGTAATGTTTCATTCCATTCTTAAGGCAATTTTCTAGATTCTTTTTTTCCCCTACTAAGTGAGATCTGAAAACTTGCTATCAGTCAAAGCCCACAGTTTCTGAGGCTAAATTTAAAATACTTTTATTTCTCATGGGAAGATTACATGTATGTATAAAGTTAGTAAATGATAACATGTAGCAGGATTACTTTTGACTGTCTAGTAGCCAGAACCACAAGTTTTAGAATTTAACATATACATTTCAGTGCTTTTCATTAAAAGTGAATATATATATATATATATAAAACCACATAGTTATTATAATATCTACAAAGCATTTTATAATTTTATGTGCTTTCATGTGAAATACATTCGCTGATCTTAAACTTCTGAGGTAGGCAGGGTTGGATATATTAGTTTCCTTTTTTTAAATGAGAAACAGATTTGTTAAGTAATTTACCCAGCATTGCACAGCTAGTATGTGCTGTGGCCTAGATTAGAATCCAGCTCTTCTAACCCCGTGTTCCATTAAATAACATAACCATGATTAAAATCTATGTCAGTTAATTTAAGATATTAATTATAGCAACATATTGAAACATTAGATATCTGCAATTGAGATGAATTATGTTACCTTTGGGTTATTTGGCTATAATATTTTTTCTTTTGGTATTTTAATGGAATTTTTTTTTCTAAATGAAGTAAAATACTTCTTTGTAGTAGTTTCACCTGACTTCCCATCTTAAATGAAATAAATTGATTCATAAAGTGTTTCAAATTGGTTTTTTATTTGTTTGTTTGTTTTTTGCTTAATTACCTTTCAGCTATCCTTTTCAGGTTGCCTGCAGCTGAAAAGACCCTCTTAAGTCCCTCCAACTTGTTTGAACTTTTAAACCTAGAAAATTGCTCATTGCCATTCTGTGTTTCCTCTAAAAATTGCATTTTCACAATTTTGGATTTAGTAAAACTGCATGTTCATCATTGGATTATAAAATAAAATGAGGACTCTATAAAGAATATGTAAATTTCATTTATAATAATGAGTGAAGATCTGTCTATAGCTCTATATAAAAGTGTGTTTTTTTAAAAAAAAAGTCTGTTATTACTAAAATGAGTTCCTACCTCCCTCTACCATCCCTAATTCCACTCACTCCTCAACCCTCCTCCCCCTAAAAGGATATTTTTCTATTTTGATGTGTTTTATACATTTGGCACTGAAGGCAAATTCTTAACGTTGACATTCAAACTTATCTTGCAGCTGCTGTATTAAAGTATGAAAATAATGTGATGAATATTCGACAGTTTAATTGTTCTCCACATCCTTACTGGTTGCCTAATTTTATGGATGTCTTCACGTGGTCTTTACCATTTGTTGGAGAAAAAGGTATGATTTTTATTAAAAGAAAAAAACAGAAAAACATCCAAAACAATTGTTTTATTTCTGTCACATTTACTCCAGTTTACTATTGCAGGCACATACTTGGTAGAGGAAACAGAATTCAGGTTTCACTGTGGGTACAGCTCTGCTTGTGTCAGTGAGTGTGGATATGAGAACCTCAAAGATATTTTAGTTAGCTGTTTACAGCCCCCATGTGAGGGTGTCTGGGGGACTGGGAGAAGACTTATAAATAGCCTGATGTTGTCTTCAGCTGTTGGGTTTTCTTCCTTTTTTTTCTTTAGCTTAAATCTTTTATGAAGGAAAGGAGGGATAGCTCTGCTTCAGAATGGACCCCTCTGCATAATTTAATACCACTTTTCAGGATGTCCGAGCAATTCGTGGGAGAATTTAATAGCCCTAGTTTTTTGACAGTGTTAGTCATTTTATGTCAGCTCTGTATTCCAAGAGAAATTCAGATTCTACCTTAGTATTTTTTCTCATATATCAGAAATATGTAAAGAATTTTAGTGATGATACTTTTATGATAATTTAGAGGAATATCTGTTAGTGCATACCTAATAAGCTTTTTAAGGGAATGTAAATACTACTTAAGAAATTTTGTTTCTAGTTCTATAGAATTCTTAGGATATCCTTATTTATCATACTCTTCTTTTCCATGTAGTGTTAATTTTTTCACAAAGCAATGCCTCAGTTTCCATATGTGGAAAATAACAGTATGAGAGTGCAGACGTGATTGTAAAACATTTTGTTTTGTATCCCCCTCTGTTTTTTCTCACTTCTTCTATGTTACAAAATGTTCCTTTCTGTATGAGATATGTCACTTCTGCAAAGGCAGTTTTTGGCTCTAAAATTCAGAGTTAATACTTAAACTGCGTATGTTTAAAAGGTTTTCTGCAGAGTGCCTTTGGTCTTTGTCAGTTACTCAGTAGGTCCAACATTAAGTTAATATGGAGATAGAATTACCAACTTTAGCATTTGAGAAGGGGACCAGTTAAGGGCTTAGGTGCAAGGGATGCATTACACTTACAACCTTCTATCTTTGGGATATGAGAAATAGCTCAATCATAGCATCATCAGGCTAAAGGGAATTTAAGAATCCATCTTGCTCATTCGTCTCCCTCCAGACTGGACTGCAATTTAACTATTTTAATGTAATACGGTGGGGGGTGGCAGGGATAGGGTAGGAGAAAAATGGACATTTCGTAGATTCTCTCTAATTTAGTTCTCTGGTGCCTCTACAATAAGGAAATATTTCACTGGTGCCTAATCTAAATATCTATGCTATGAGTGTGAAAACAAGGAAGGAAATAGTGATAATAAGTTTTTCTCAACTTGTATACCCATCCAAAACCAGGTTACCAGAGTTTTCAAACTCATAAGTGAACTTAACAGTCATGTAGTCCAACTCCTTTTGAGAGATGATAAGATTTAGTCTAATTGCTATGGATTCCTCATGAGTGAAGATGAAGAACAGTAGATTTCTATCTGTGTTCCTACATTTGAAGTCTGCTACTAAGTGATCTTTGGTTCTTTTGCCACTCTGAATCATTGAATCTGTTGTAATGTAAGGAAGTATTCTAACCTTTTGACTATTTTTGTTGTTCTTCTGTGGCTCTTCTCTAAATTATTCACATCATTCTAAAAATGTGAAGCTCAGATTTGAATATTATATGCAAATAGAATCCTAGCCAAAGTTGAGTGCAGTAAGAAAATTTTCTCAAACTCTGCCTATTTTACCATGTTAGTACATGTTAGCTGTTCAGATAGCTTAACTACTTGTGATTCTAATGAAATTTTCTTCTGGTGTAAAAAACAGCAAGTGACATCTCATTTGCTCCACTTCTAGAAATTCAGTTTAACTCTGATCTGGTTGCTAGGAAACAACTAACCTGGGCCAGAGGCTTCCTGAGAGACTTGGTTAACCCTAAACTTAAATGAAAGTATGTTTTAAACTTCTGCAGACTAAGAACCCCCTTTTTATTTTATTTTTAAGTTCTTACGTTGGATGCAAAGGTAGAGTGAATAATATAATGAATTCCTATGTACCCATTACTCAGCTTCAACAATTATCAAATTATAACCAATCTTGTTTCATTTATATGTCATTCACTACTCCACTACTCCCAATTACTTTGAAGCAAATCTCAGCTATCTTTTTAATCCATAAATATTTTAGAATGTATCTCCAAAGATAAGGACACTTTACTTTTTTAAATAACGATACCTGAAAACATTTATTGCTTTCTTAATACGAAACCCTTTTGAGAATCTGATGAAAGTTATTTTGCCCCAGAAAAATTTATGTGCAAATGCACGTACATCTGTACATACAAACAACATTTTCAGTAGGTTCATAGATCTGAAGTGAATTGGTTAACCCTCTCAGGTTTATTAATCCCGATTTAAGAACTTGTGTTCTAGAGAAACCAATATGGTGTGATGTTCCATTGAAGTTCATACATCTATAATTTATTCATTTACTGGATTTTTTGTTGTTGTTGTTTGAGAGTTTGCTTAAGATACAAAGATATAAGTAAGATATGTGTCTTTGCCTGTTAATAGGAGACCTAAGATATATAAATAATGATAATAAAATGTAATGTAGTAAGCACTCTACTCGAAGTATAAGCATAGTTTTATAGGAATTAAGAAGAAGGAGAAGGTTATTTCTGTCAGAGATTAAACTAGTATTTGAACTGGGGCTTGGAGAATGGTAGATATGGGTAAAGGAATTCTAGGTAAGAACTTCCCAAGCCTAGACTTTAAAGCAAGAAAGCATAAAGTCTCTGACAAATGTTGGATGGTTCAATTTGATTAGAGAGTAGGATATATGAAGAACATTAGTAGGAAATGAATGAAAAATTAGGTCTTGGCTCGATCATGAGAATTTTTATCACCACGCAGAGAAGTTGGAACTTTGATAAATGATGGGAAGCCACTGAAACAGAATGATATGACCATGATAGTCACTTAGAAAAATTACTCTGGTAAGATGGACTGGATGGAAGAAAGGCTAGAGGTTGAGAGATCTGTTCTGAAGTTAAGGAGCAACATACTGAAGCATTAGGAATGGAGAGCAGGGGAGAACTCAAAAACTGTAGAAGTAGAATCAGTGGGACTTAACAAGATTGTATGTTTTAAGGGGAGGGAATGGTTGAAGATGACTTGGATGTTTTGAGTCTGGTAATGATGGTTGTAAAAATGGCATGGCAGGGGCATCTGACCTCCTCTAACTTGACAAGGGGTATGGAGAATCAAGGTCAACAGCCCAAGGCTGATTCCTGTGAGGTGGAGGCTAGACATACCTCCACCCTCCAAACTTTTTACCAATTCTGGCACCAGCTGTCCCTCTCATGGCACTCTCTACTTCTCTTTTGGATTTGATAATTTGTTGCAGTGGCCACAGAACTCACAGACCATACTCACAGTTATGGGGTTTATTAGGGAAGTAACAGGTTACAATTAAGGATCAGGGATGTCTCAGGATATAGTTCTTTGATCAGGAGAGGCTCTTCTCAGCCATGCCTGCAGGCAGGCTTCTCTCTGGCCCTGGGCCCCTCAGCCCCCCGACCCAGCCTCTGCGCTGCTTACGCAAGTGTTACAAAGCTCTTTAGTTCCGCCAACGAGTGCCTGGAGGCACCCCATTCTGTCAGCCGGCCTCCTGTTCAAAGGTGCTACATTCTCTTGCTGCATAGGTCGGTGAGCCTAGCTCTGCCAAGTGCCCTGAGGCACTCTCCTGCCTGAAGGCACTCAGCTTTCTCACTCTGTGAGCCAGGAAGCCCACCATGCCATCTCCTGCCTGTCTCCTGATTCTGCTGCCTCTCCTGCCGCCTTTCCCTGCTGCTGCTCCTCGCTGTCTCTCACCATTTCCAGGGTTACAGTTCTCTTTGTCTTTGTCTCCTGGGTCTAGGAGGTTCTCAGCGAAGAGATTGCAGGTTCAAAGGGCATGCTTCAGTCCTAGCTCTTCTTTCTTGGTGGTAGTGAGGTTCCTCCTTTCTGCCTCTGGGATGGCTCATTTAAAGCCTGGTGGGGTGGCAAAACTGATCAATCCCCTTGTTGGGGTTCCATACACCTTATTTACATGGCCCCACTCCCACAAGGGTGCCATGCACCTTATTTTCATTATTACTAAGCTGTCCAATCCCCTTGGTGGGCCATAGATACCTTATTTGCATAGTCCCACCCAATCATTTGGTGGGAGTTACAAGACCATGGTGAGAAAGGCCATATGAAAGTAATCCATTGCATCGCAATGGTACTATTAACACTGTCTGATGAAAACCCCTTGTTACTGCAGCAACCCCTCTCTTTGATTATAGCTGCTCTTTATTCTCATTGGGATCTCTAGGCCTTTGACCATGTAATTTCCTCCCCAGTCAAGATTCCTTTTTGCTTCTTTTCCTTTTTAAAATACCTTCAAATTCCTTTCTGTCTTGTCTTTCTACTTCATTTGTCTTATAAATCTTAGCCCTAGTAAAATCCAGCCACCCATTGTCTCCATTCCTACAGCCAGGCTATAGAGCACTGCTGGAGACGTTTATATAACTTTAGCAATTGGTGCTACCCCTTGATTTTCAGAATTATCTGAGCTCCCAGTAGTACTCAAAACATCCTTTATGTCCCTAGTCTGTTTCCTTTCCCAGTTCCGGAGATATTCTAAATGTCATCTTTTTTCTTAAATGGTTCTTCTTCTAGCTATTTCTCTCTCAGAGAAAACTCATGTCACTAGTGGGAATGTTTTCTACTTACTATTCCCCCTCCTCTATAAACTGTGCTTAACTTTAATTCTTCTCTAGATTGCACTACTCTTCTGCTTCCTCAGGAACTTTGCTTCTCCAGGTCCTCTATATCTCCAAACTCTCTCTACTAGCACTTTCATAAATTGTTCAATCTATTTGATCTTTAAATGAAAAATAAATAACATTTCCCCCATCTGTTGTATTTTCTAGCTGTTTCTATGCTGTGACTTCCTCGCCTTTCTTTCACAGCCAAGCTTCTGGACAAAAAGTTCTATTTACTTAAAAGCTTTTATTTGATACTCATAAATGGCTCCCTGTAGCTTTCAAGATATAGTTGGTTCTTTAACCTGTCACACAAAGCCCTTAGTGACCTTCCCTACTTTTTCTCTAGTCTCAATTCCTGCCTTTCACTGTTATATTCGTTATGCTCCAGCCATAATACAGCCAGCTAATATCCTGAATGTTCTAGGCTCTTTAAGTTTCATGCCTTCATACAATTTCTTTTTTATTATTATTACAGCTTTATTGAAAATGGAACCCTGGTGGCGCAATGATTAAGAGTTTCGCTGCTAACCAAAAGGTCAGCAGTTCGAATCCACCAGCCACTCCTTGGAAACCCGACAGGGCAGTTCTGCTCTGTCCTATAGGGTTGCTATGAGTCGGAATCGGGTTTGTTTTTTTTCAGAGTATTGAAAATGGGTTTGGTTTTTTTGAGATTTTTGAAGATAATTCATATACCATACAATTCACCTATTTAAATTACGTAAGTTAGTGGTTTTTAGTACGTTCACAGAGTTGTGTATCCATCATCACAATCAATTTTGGGACATTTTCATTAGCCCCATAAAGAAACACACATTCGACGCTAACAAAAAGGTCAGCAGTTTAAATCCACCAGCCATTCCTTGGAAACCCTATGGGGCAGTTCCACTCTGTCCTGTAGGGTCGCTATGAGTCGGAATTTACTCGACGGCAATGGGTTTTTTGGGTACAGTCACTCCCCATTTCCCCCAAACCCTTTCCACCAGCCCTGGGCAACCACTAATCTGCTTTCTGTCACCGTAGATTTATCTCTTCTGGACATTTATTTTAGATGCAGTCATACAATATGTGCTTTTTTGTGACTGATTTCTTTCCATAATGTTTTCAAGACTTATCCATGTTGAAGCATGAATCAATACTTTATTCTTTTTTATGGCTGAGTAATATTCCATCTTGCAGATATACCACATTTTGTTTATGCATTTATTAGTTTATGGACATTTGGGATGTTTCTGCTTTTGTCTGTTGTGAGTAATGCTGCTATGAAATTTATGTACAATTCACCTATTTTTCATTTTTCTTATGTTTTCATTTTTCTTGGTTATAGACATAGTGGAATTGCTTGGTCAAATGGTAACTCTATGTTTAATCGTTTTAAAATTGTCAAACCGTTTCCTAAAATGGCTGCACCATTTAGATCCCCCCAGTAGTGTATGAGGATTCCAATTTCTCCATATCTTTGTGAATATTTGTTATTATCTATCTTTTTTATTATAGCCATCTTAGTGAGTATCCCTATGGGGCAGTTCTACTCTGTCCTATAGGGTCACTATGAGTCAGGATCAACTCATCAGCAATGGGTTTAGTGGGTGTGAAGTGGTATCGCATTGTGGTTTTGATTTGTATTTCCCCGAGGACTAATGATGTTGAACATCTTTTCACATGTTTATTGGCTGTTTGTATATTGTCTTTGGAGAAGTATCTATTCAAATCCTTCGTCAAATTTTAAAATGTTTTATTTGTCTTTTTATTATTGAGTTGTAGGAGCTCTTTATATATTCTGGATACACATCCCTTGTCAGATATATGAATCTAAATATTTTCTCCCATTCTATGGGTTGTCATTTTACTTTCTTGATGGTGTCTTAATGTCATGGATTGAATTATGTCCCCCAGAAAATGTATCAATTTGGCTGGGCCATGATTCCCAGTATTGTGTGATTTTCCTGTATGTTGTAAATCCTGCCTCTATGATGTTAATGAGAGAGGATGGGCAGCAGTTGTGTTAGCGAGGCAGGACTCAGTCTACAAGATTGGATTGTATCTTGAGGCAATCTCTTGAGATTTAAAAGAGAGAAGCTAGCAGATAGACAGGGGGACCTCACACCACCAAGAAAGCAGTGCTGGGAGCAGAGTGCATCCTTTGGACCTGGGGTCCCTGCATGGAGAAGCTAGTAGTCGGGGAGAAGATTGATGAGAAGGCCGACAGAAAGAGAAAGGCTTCCCCTGGAGCTGACGCCCTGAATTTGGACTTTTAGCCTACTTTACTGTGAGGAGATAAACTTCTTTTTGTTAAAGCCATCCACTTGTGGTATTTCTGTTAAGAGCAGCGCCAGGTGACTAAGACACCTTTGAAGCATAAAAGTTTTTAATAAAGGTCAATTTATCTGTTTTTTCTTTTGTTGCTTGTGCTTTAGGTGTCATATTCAAGAAACCATTGCCTAATCCAAACTCATGAAGATTTACATCTATGTTTTATTCTGAGAGAGTTATAGTTTTAGCTTTTACATTTAGGTCTTTGATCTTTTTTGAGTTAATTTTTGTATATTGTGTGAAGTGGGAGCCCAAGTTCATTCTTTTACATGTAGATACACAGTTGTCCCAGGACCATTTGTTGAAAAGACTATTTCCCTCATTGAATTGTTTTGGCACCCTTATCAAAAATCAGTTGACTTTAAATGCGAGGTTTTATATCTGGACTCTCAGTTCTATTCCACTGATCTGTATGTCTACTTTATACTTTTTTTAACTTCTGTTTAGAATGCCTTATCTGCCCTCTCCACCTGGAAAACTCCTACTTCATGATTTTTCTCAAATATCATCTACCAAAAGCCTTCCCTGACTTGCTGGTGTTATGCATACAATTGCATACCTTCGGCATAGTGCTCATCACTCTTTTGTGGTTGGTTAATAAGCTTTATGAAGATAGAGACTGTGCCTTTTATACCTGACTCTCAGCACCTAGCACCACACCTGACATATGGTGTGCTTTTGATAAATTTGTAGGAGGAAGAACGGGTTTGTAGGGGCATTGAGTTTTATTTTGTATGTGTTCATTTCTAGGTGCCACCAGGATGCCTGAGAGCTAATGTTTAATGGGCGTTTTTATTTATTAATTGAAATATGTTTGCTACCTTTCTTATTTAATTTACTCATTTGTCAAATATTTATTGGTGTCTGTCATGTGCCAGGCACTGTGCTAGGCTCTGGGGATACAGTGGTGAACAAACCAATGTCCTGCACCCATGAAGGTTGTATTCTAATAGGGAAAACAGACAATATACGAACAGTTTGAGACAGTGGTAATAAAACCAGCAAGGAAATCCAGAGTCTGAAGGAAAGGTCAAGACTAGAGACACAGATTTTGGATCATGTTCAAAGAGGTAATACTTGAAACTATGATAGTGGATGGAGTCACCAAGAAATTGAGCATAAAAAAAGAACTGCAGGGAGAATCTTGGGAATATCCAAATTTTGGGGTCAGGAAGAAGAAGGAATCCTAGAGAAGATAAAAGGGGGAAAGTGGTCTAAATAATAGGAAAACCAAAAGATTACAATTCTGGGAACCAAAGGAAAAGAGAAGGAAAAAATACATAGAATAGTCAAGGAAGATTAAGCCCAAGAAAGAGCCATGGGTTTAGATTGTTAGTCATTAGGAATCTTTAAAAATAAGTTTCAGGGGAGTAGCTGAAGCCAGTTCTTAAAAGACTGAATCCTGGGACTTTTTTTGAAACAATGGAACTGTGCTGTGACTTTTTTTTCTCCTTAATCCTGGTTTATAGTTAGACCTGTATCATCCATGAATGAATATTTTAAATGTATACATTCAGATGTTATTCATCTCTGTTCTTATCTCTGGGAGGCTTTAATTTTTGTGAATGACCATAAAGAATATCTGTCTCTCAGACTTGCTATCCACTGAATTTCCTTCATTTCAAAAGCCTTTACGTTTTAAAATTTTATCATTTCTGCTATTAGAATGTGTTAGTCATCTTGTGTTAAAAATTACTTGATTATTTTTGTGATTGGTTGCTGTGTATACATATAGACAGTTGTATATGGTCACTAATGTGTAACTTTTTTTTTTTTGATTAGTGACAGAAATGTTGGTAAATGTTCTGAGTATTTGCTCTGATGATGAACTAATGACCGAAGGTGAAGACCAATTTGATGGTATGATTATTCATTTTACTTTTTTTATTATCATGAAATGGTATCCTTTAATTGCCTAGCTCAAATATGCACAATTTGAAAAAATAGTTATTGCTCTTAAGTAGCTTATGCTATTTGATAAGTGATAAGTCATTTTTTTTTTAGATATTGCTTATTTAAAATTTTTGAAAATAATATTAGTGATTTAATTATTTTCTGGAAGTATGGGGAAGAAGATAAATTTTGGGAAAAAGAATTTGGAAGCAAAAATAAAAGGAAAACAAATTAAAAAGTACTAAAAGGATTGTGGTGTTCATGAATATGAACACTGCTTAGAGAAGGGAGAGTAGAACTGCTTTTTGTTTCACTCTACAGTGTTCTTATTGCATCATGAATATACCTGCCCCCCAGTATTGCTTTTACTCCAACCTTCCAAACACCAAAGCTGGCTCTTCCCAACTTATGAGTGGTTATGTTCTAAAAGACCACTTGTTAGTTCAGTATGGAATTCAGAAAGCACTTTTTCCATAGAAACAAGGTTATACATGGTTGTTAGTTCTTATGTAAGCTAACAAACCTACGTTTGTTATTGTGCATTTATGGCATAAATTTATGCTAAAGAAACAAAATTTTCCTTTAAGTTTAGTTTTGAAATTTTTATTTAAAACTTTTTAATTTAAATATTTATTTAAAACTTAATCCACAGAGCAGATAAACACAAAGGTAAACACATTTTAAGCTTAAAACTCTATTTCCTTCCACATGCCCCTCATATCTTTGTTTTAGTAGTCTTTTCATAGCTATAATCAGTATATAAATATTTCCATGTATGAAACATGGTCTACACATTAGTAAGATTTGATAGCTGCATATTTTAAAGTAAATAAAATACTTTAATTTTCATAGTTAATCTCATATTGGGTGGCATTTGAGTTGTTTTTAAATATCCTTATGATGAGTGGAAACCCTGGTGGTGTAGTGGTCAAGTGCTACAGCTGCTGACCAGTGCAAATCCACCAGGCGCTCCTTGGAAACTCCATGGGGCAGTTCTGCTCGTCCTATGGGGTCGCTATGAGTTGGAATCAACTCGACGGCAACGGGTTTGGTTTGGTTTTGGGTTATTATAAGTAGCAATGTAACAAACATCTTTGTACAATAGCTTTTATTTTCCTTCTTGGAATAAATTTCTGGAAGAGAATGACAAGAGTTGAAGTATGTTAAAAGTTTCATTATTTTAGCTGTGAGTTGCCAGATTGCTTTGCAGAAGAATTGGACCAATACAAAGTGCCTCCAGAAGTGTGTCCATAGACCTGTTTGTTCGTAGGCCTGCCTCATTGAGTTTTGTTATTTTTACGTATTTTGCTTGGCTACATGGTAATAAATTACAGTTAGTTAAATTTACATTTCTTTTATTTCTATTGATTCTAAGAAAAAAAAATTATCTGCTTTTCTGACTGTGTAAACTGTCCATCTTAACTGACCAGTTAACAAGTAAAATCTAAGTTAAAAACTATATGGAAATTTCTCTACTTACAAACAGGTTTGATTCTTAAACACTGTCATAAGCCCATTTTTTCAAAGTTCAAAGGAACTGTGTACAAGTGTCTCCTATTGCCTTCTGTTGGTGGCAGTCAGAGATGTGATTTTACTCTGGCTTGGAGTTTCGTTAGTAACTGAAATAAGTATATTTATATCCATTCTTTTTTTTTTTTTTTTTGTTTAGATAATAAACTTTCATGAGTAATATTTGTTTTTCCTTAATTTGATTCTCTCTCCTTTTGATGTTATAGAAGTTTTTAGTCATATCTATCATTTCCATAAAAATTTTAAATATTTTTAATTATTTCTTTTCCCCATTATGCTGTTACTATTTGTTGGTAGAACAGATCTGAGTTCAAATTTTAGCTCCTTACAGTAGCTGGTTAGCCTCAGGCAAATTATTTAACCTTTCTGAGCCTTAGTTTCTTCATCCTCAAAATGGTCATCATAATACCTACTTCATAATGTTGTAGGTACTGAGATAATGACCAAAATAATTTTTGGCACATAGTCTACTTATTTTTTTAGATGAAATTTTCTGTTAATTTGTCAAATTCTGTGAAATATCTAGTGGGAATTTTAATTGGTACTACACTATATCTAAGTCTAGGGAGTTTTTGTTTTTACTTTTAATTTAGTTTTCTCAACCAAGACCAGAATCTCTTGCCCTATGTAATTAGTTCATTTAATATAATTACTCCACATGATATATTTAATGTAATATACATACTCCTTTCATTTAAGATTATGTTGTCTTTCTCTGAAAAAAAAATCTGTTATTACCAAGTTAAATTAATACTCCAGTATTTTATATTCTTATTACAATTGTTGTGTCTCTTAATGTAGTTTCTAACTTTGTACAAAGGAATACATTATATATTTGTGGGTTAATCTTATGTCCAACAGTTGGATCAGCAGAATTATTTCCTATGGTAATTTTGTTTTCCTTAACGTTTTAAAATATGTCATTGGCATAAGACTGATATTATTTATTTTCTACATTTTTACTTTTATTTTTTTTTATTCTTTAAAAATTATGATTAATACTGCCAATAGTGTGTTAAATAGAAATAAGTAATGCTTTAGTCATCTTCCTATAATAAAAAGAAAAAAACTTTCCTTATTAAGTCTAATTTTAGTATTTGGTTTTAGATACCTATGATTTATGTGATGATAGACCCTGAACCATTTCTTGGGATTCAATCAGGAATAAATACAAAATTTTATTATACTCCTTCTAATGAGAAGATTGTATATATTTTTAATATTTTTCCTATCAATATGATAAATTATGCTTATTTATCCACCTGTTATATCTTTCTTGCATTCCAAGGATGAATCTAATTTGATCATAAGAGGCAATGTGGTTTAGTGAAAGAATTGCTGGTTTAGGTGCCTTGTCACCTAACCCTTATGCTAGCCGTGTAATCTTGGTGAAGTCATCTAGCTTCCCAGATCTTCTCATCTATAACCTGAGAAAATCAAAACTGAGGATCAAAATTCCTTCCCACTCTTAAGTACTTTTTAAAATTGTTAAGCACCATTTATGACAATGTTTCTATGGGAAATTACCTTGAGTTCCAGCTTTGAATACTAGAAATAGGTCCTTAACTGCCAACATGGCAGGTGCAATTTCTCTTCATTTCTTCACCCTTCCACTACCGAGTCTTAGGAGCAGGAACTCCAAGAAGGTTGTAAGAATATGAGTCTGAGAGTTTGCATGGAGGAATGAGAGTGGTTTGGGAGAGAAAGAACATTGAGAGTGAAGGAAAGGGGAGGAGATTATGATAGATCTAAGGTTTAGGATGGAGTAAGAAAAAGAGCTACTGGAACCAGGCTTATTTTCCCCTCCTCATTCATACTCCCTTATTTCTCCCCTTGACTCTGTCCCTCTTTTCTCCTTTTCCTTAACCATGATGGCATGCTGTCTGTCCTTTCCTTCCCCTTTTCCTACTCAGCAGTGGAACCATCCTATGACCCAGGGCTGGGAAGAAATCTGACTTTAGAAAGAAAACTTAGTGGAGTGGGGATTGCTGTGGAAGAAGAGTAAGGATGGAATGAATAGGAGGGTTTAGCTTTTCGGTGGAGAAAGGGAGAGAGCAGGATTGCAGATATCCCAGTGGCAGGAAGGAAAGAGTAGTTTTTGTACATTTGAGGCTGAAACTGGGTAAAAGGAATAAGACTCTCTTTATTCTTAATTGATGAATCTTTGGTTCTGTATTGTTTAATGTACATGTGGAATTGTTATTAAAGGCAAAAATTTGCATGTATAAGTACACATAGCATCCCTTTTAGAGGTATTATTTAATCATAAAAGAATTTTTCACCACTTGATTTCTGTGATATTTAGAATGCATTTCAGATATTTATCTTTTGTGTTGAGTTTGGTAAAGGAAATATATAATCCATATGTGTTACAGTTTTCTAAATAAAACTTTGAATTTCCTATAATGGAATCATGTATCTCAGCATTAGAATGAGGATATAGAAAGCTCAGATTGAAACCATCCTTGCTGCCCACTCCTAGAGCTATTACTTGCTTGAAACAATCTGTTGCTATTTCTGCAAAAAGATGTCCCCCTAAACTTCCAGATTGGATTGGGAACAGAAAGCACATATTGTTGCTCCTGAGTAAAATGCAAAAGTTCTACAATTCACATTCAAGAAATCTTCTACTCTTGTTATTGCAGAATGTAGGAGGCTTAGCTTTTCCTTTATTGGGAGTGGGTGAGGTTTTCCACTGAGGTAGTTTATAAAGTTACCTACATTTCTCTGTATATACTACAGATTTTGCAGATGTTTTGCCGATTTTGAAGAAGCATATGAACTTGTATCTCATTTGTGTCATTACCTTTCACTTAACATACTTCCATGGGTGACACATTTCCTAAGTCATATCAATATAAATGTGCGATTGTTGTTAGCACAGTCTTTTATCAGTCTTATGTGTTTTCACGTGTTTTTTTTTTCTGTCCCTAATTATGTCTACTTTCATCAAATATTATAGACATTCTGTCCATAGTTTCTTCTGAACACATATCTTTTAAGAAATCTCTACTTTAGAACTCTACCCAGTGGCATTCCTCTTTATTCGCCAGATTCTACAGTACTACATTTTTCGGTTTTTCAAATATGAGGGCCTTCATTTTTCTCCCTTTCTTTCTACATTCATTCTTCAGTACCACTGCCAAGTTAAATCTCTATCTTTTTATTTGTCTCAACCACCTTTTCTCCATCATTCACTTCCTTTTTTCTGGACTCTCCATCTGAAGAACGGCTCATATATGGCAATAAAAAAGGTACAGACCAGACAGAGTAAAATTGTTTTGAAATATGACTTCATAAGTTATCCTCATGTCCATGTAAGTTAGCACATTCACTGAGTACTGTTTACGCAGCGTCCTCTTGGGCCTTGTGCAAATTTAGTTTAAGTTACCTGAGTTAGTCTTTGATGTTTTTAGAAGTCATATTCCAAGATATCTGTCTTTCTGTGCATGGAGATATTTTTCCCTCTTTTTCATTCCTCTTGTTTTTAAATTTCATTCTTTTGCTTATTGTAATGTTTTGTACTTTTCCCTGCATGATTAGGGGTGTTTGATTGTCTGTCTTATTCCCCAAAGTGATTTTACTGTGGACATTTTACTTTAATATTATGCATGACGTGTTTGTAGACCGATTTAAAATCCTGATTTGTACAGTGTTTTTATATCCCAATGAATTTTTCATTTGAAATCAGTATAGTTTACATATTGTTTGGTTTTACAGATACATAAATAAAGGCTGAAAATATGAATGTACCTCGTTATGGCCATCCTCCCCCATCCCCCTACTCCTCACCCCAGTCTAGCTATTTTAAAAATCCTATCAGTTTTATAACAAAATGTCTATATTAAATTTATTAGAAAAGAAAATAAGACTTACCTTGTGTCCTTGGACAAGTTGCTTAAACTCAGTTTCCTTGTCTATAAAACGAAGAGACTGAACTACGCAATATCTTTAATGTCTTTTTTAAATTCTGATATTCTATGGTTCTGAGGTTTTTAGTGATCTTTTTTTGATATCTTAAAAATAACTGTGTAGTGCCATGGTACCCACAGTTTTGGACTTGTTAAAACCTGTAGCTTCAGTGCTCCTAATATTACTCTTTGAAGTGTCAAACATGGTTGTAGAGCCTATTTTCTCTAAAATATGTCTTTTATTTTCATCTTTGAAGTTGGATTTCTTTTTCTGTTTCTTTGCAGTAAGGTCCAGTCATCGTCTTAGTTTTTAATTATATGTATGTGTGGGCTGCTTGATTTTTAAATGAGATGCTCTAGCCCAGAAGACTTAAGGTTGTGCAGACCTCTGTATACCTAAGGCCCCTTCTGGTCTAGCGTCTTTAGCCTTTCCTTAACCTTCTCCTCAGCCACGGTGCTTCCGTATGTGTGTTTTCATCATGTTGAAGCCAGAGCTTAAACCAGTTTGTTCTGGTTTGAACCCCTGCTGAGAATTTGAATTTCTAATAAGTTTCCTGCTCAGAATTTGCATTTCCACCCCAAATATACTAAATCAGAACCTACATTTTAACAAGATATCCAGGTGATTCTTATGTATAACCTCCTGGAAACTTGTTAGAAATGCAAATTCTTAGCAGGAAACTTGTTAGAAATGCAAATTCTCAGCAGGGGTTCAAACCAGACGACCGGTTCAAAGCCCTGGTTGATGCACAGCTCTAAGAAACCACATTCTTGCAGCCAGAGTGATTTTAGTTGCTGTATATGAGGTAACAGGACTGAGATTAATATTGTTCTTTCTGGAGGCCAAGGGAAGGAAGATATAACCTCTGAGTCTTTTTTCAGCCAAGGATCCAGTTATTTTGATATAGTCTCTTCTGTATCAGTGATAGGCCACACAGTTAACCCCTGAGAGATGAAGCAGCCATGTTTCTTAAGGGTTCTTTCTCATTGCTTACCTTTATTGTGTCACACTCACCTAGAGATGTAAGACCTTGTATATCATTGCATGACCTTAGAGAGGGACACCTAGTCCATGAGGTTGAGATGTGCATTGTTGCTCAAATGCTGGTATGGTCTTTAGTTAGGGTCACCTGCACAGTAGTCCCTTCATACCATTATTTTTAGGCCAACATAGAACAAGGAAGCTTATTCTATCATAGTATGATGGGATATTTCTAGCCTGCATGTCAAAGGCTTTTATGATAGTGAAACAGAGGATTCCAGGGCTGTTACCAATTCTTTCTGTTAGTCTGCATGCCATAAGCTCCCATGAGAGTTAAACAAAGTCTATAGAATTGTTACTGATTGTTTTTCTGTTACCTGGTTTGTGATGCAGTTTGGGCTGAAGTTTCTTTCCCTTTGCTGTTTCACTGACTAGTCAGTAGTTTGAGAGTCATAAAGTTTGTGGATTACTTGTCATATGTATTAGTATCAGACCCCAGTATTAGACCAGTGCTGAGCTAAACACTGAGGGAGTGAGAAGCTCTTTGGCATGAGTTCATCTAGTTCTCTCCATGTGAGCTGATGGCAGGGGGTTTGATGTTGGTGCAGATAAGCGTGGAACAGACTAATAGAATAATGCAAGTGTGGATACCCTAAACTTGAGCCTTTCTTTCTATCTATTCCATTGAAAGTAGGTTCAGCTGCAGCCCGGAAAGAAATCATAAGAAACAAAATTCGAGCAATTGGCAAGATGGCAAGGGTCTTCTCTGTTCTCAGGTAATGATACATTTTCCTGGCTATTTGTTTTGCAGAAACTACTTTTACTGTGCTTGGTACGAGGGGAGTCCTGCTTGACATCTAGAAGCATTTTGGTAGCATTCGTCCCATAAAGAAGTTAGTTGTACATTTATGTGTTGAAGAAGAGAACACAAGTTCCTTTGAAACTAGGCTCTTTAACCCTTGTGATTATTCTTGCTCACCTTTGATAACTCTTGTCCTTCTGTGATAAAAGGTCTGCACCTTGAACATTAGAACAGGATAAGATAGAGGGGACACTTAGAGTATTCCTAATAAAATTGCTCAGCAAGGACTTCATAGGAAGTCTCTTTTGCTGGAGCCACACATTATCTTTCTGGGATTAATTGAGGAAGACTAGGTTTAAGGGTACACATGAGTGGGTCAGTCCTTAAAAAAAATTGTTTGCAGAAAGGCTTACATCAGACATTTCAACTTCAGAGCTTGTGAAATACCATGTTATCTCAGTTGTAAGATGCCCATTTATGGTGAATCTTACCATATACTTGATAAAGCTTTTCAGGAAAAAAAATTTATGCCTTAGCTGCAAGGCACACCTTCATAATAAAACATTTAGAATATAAGAAAATGTACGTCTCTGTCTTTGAATTAAGGAAAATATGGTCTTAACAAAGAATGTCATAAATTATATACATGGCCTACATCTTTTAGACTGTTCTTTTAAAGTAAATACTTATTGAAGGTATCTTCTATTTATTATATTTCTCTGCTGTAGGGAGGAGAGTGAAAGTGTGCTGACACTCAAGGGCCTGACTCCCACAGGGATGTTGCCTAGTGGAGTGTTAGCTGGAGGACGACAGACCCTGCAAAGTGGTAATGATGTTATACAACTTGCTGTGCCTCAAATGGACTGGGGCACACCTCACTCTTTTGCTAGCAAAACACGTAATGCATGCAGGGAATTTCTTCTGCTTTTTAGTTCCTGTCTTAGCAGCTGACACAGGCAGGGTACTACATGATAGGCAGTATCTGATTAATACCTGACCCGGGCAGCAAATTGATAGAATGGCTGTTCCATTCATTTGAAAATAATGGTCAGTCTCAGCTTTTTAATCAAATGATATGGGAGCAGCTCATATCATAACGCCTGAAATATTTATTTATTTATTTATTTGTCTAATGCACTCTTTTCTTTTAAAAGCCTCAGCTTCAGAATGTGAATCAGAGATATACATATTAAAAAATGGGAATGTAATTCCAAGCTTTTTATTTTTTGAAATTTATGTAATTGTATTAGACTATACTTATTTTTTCACTTGGAAACTTCAAATACTTTAATTTTAGAATTAACAATCTGCTTGGGCCCCAGAACATTACTTATGCACTTCACTTGCCAAAGATTTGTGCAAGGTTTTGTACCCTGGTAAATGATACCAAAGTTTGTTTTCTGTGGTGTTTGTCAAATGTTCTATGTATAATTAACTGTCTGTAACATGCTGTTTCCTTCCTCTGCAGATGTAGCTGCTTTCCTAAATCTGTCTGTCTTTCTTTAGGTTAGCTGTATGTCTGTAAAAATATGTTAATTGAACTATTCTTTCAGACACTTGTCTTTTGATGTAGAAGCAACTTTGTAGCACCTTGTTTTGAGGTCTGCTGCATTTGTTGCTGTACTTTGTGCATTCTGAACATGCATGTAACATTAGATATTAAGTCATTGTTATAAAGGGGTTGAATTTAAATCCTGTAAGTCAAAATTGGAAGGGTGTTTATTAAGTGTGCCTTTATTTTGCATGAAAATAAAAAGAATTATACATAAAGCATTTCTGTAATCTGGCTCATTGAGTATTTTATATATATTTATATAAAACTTTCTGAAGTACAGAATTTCTGAGGAGAAATTGGTTAACATCTTATGAAGGACCCTTGGTATGTTATATTTATATAAAACTTAACATTTTTTTGGTGTAAATATTTGTGTAAATACTGGGTAACTTTTTTGAAAGCCCATTACAGATTAAATACAAGAGAGTGATGTGAATGTTATAGACCACACATAGTAACTCAAAGTCTAGATTTTTTCCACCCTGTGATTGGAAAGCAAAAAATGTGATGTGGAAAAACATTAATTTATATGTTTTATTGTAGCCACTTTTGACAGCCCTCCAGGGGTCATTCTATTAAAACAGGCAGCAACACATCTGATGTCTTCCTTAGTCATGATTAAGTTTCTTCTTGGTGTTGTAATTAGTGAATTTTTTAAAGGGAAAGAAAGTAGGAAATTTTAATTTAAATTTTTGAATAAATTTAAATTCATTTGACTTCCCACAGTCTCTTTACACTCAGTCCCATAATAAATGCTTTTTAATAAAGATAATTTTTCCTGTAGACAAATAATTTTTACTTGTAGCCTATACGTGTTCTATTTTATATGTTATTGTGTTGTCTGCTACCACCACTGGTATATGTGAGAAGTACAACTATGTTTTGAAATTATGGTTTTAAATTTTCATTCTGAATGGGGTTTCTTTTTTTAAGTAAAAAAATCTTTTCTGATTTTCTTTGCATTCTCTGCCCTCCATTTTTTTTTTATTATATTGTAAATATTAGAGAAACGAGCTAAAAAGACATTCATGAATGTTTATTAAATTAAGAAGACCTTAAATATTCAATAAAGCTAGCAAAAATGTTAGTAGAAAAAAAGAATTCTCTTTGCTCAGAAAAGAAAGATGGAACTGAAAGAATATCATATTTAAATAAATTACACGACAGTTGTCTCTCAGTTATCCTTGGATATATTATTACTTTTATGTGGTATCCACAGCAAACCTTGCTTTCAGATTTCACAGTTAGCACCTTCTAATTACATGCTTTGTTGACGGCTCAGTACTTCTATTTATTCTTAATTTGCATGCAGCCTGAAGCCCAGTCCTCCAACTTGGAAACCACCCTCAGCTGCAGGGAAGGTTTGAAAAACAGCAGCTTTGCTGAAGGGACTGTCTATTCCCAGCATAGAGTGAGTTACTGAAAGGAGCTGAGTTTAAGGGGTCTAATTTGGGAAACTAGCTAGCTCCCTAGTTCTGCTAACAGTGGCTCTTAAAAGTGTGGTTTGAGCATTTGGTTGAAGTGATTTCCTTAGTATAAGATAAACCTATTTTGAAACAAAAAACACATGCAAAAGCCACTTCTGTGTGATTTTTTAAAAATTATCTAACATTTTTAATTTAGTAGTTTTGTACCCTGATGTCAGTGTGAATAACTGAGAATTAAGTATTGCAAAAAGGAAGCTTTACAATTCTAAGACCTCAAACCTATTATCAGAAAATAAAAATTATCTTTTTAATAGCATTAAAATTAATTTATATGATATCTCTCAAGTGTTTTTACAAATTACTCTACTAGAGGGATCTGATGTTCATATTTTATGTGCATTTTCTTCATGGAAATTTGATATCCCTGTAAGGCTACTGTCACCAGGGCCTGTATGGACAAATATATGGCCTACCCTATTTTACTAATATGAAATTCCTCTTGATGATTTATACATCCTGTGTAGTACTTTTTGGAACACAGTTTGAGGCAGAACTATACTCAGATTATTAAGGCCATATCAAAATGCCCTATATAACTGAAAACAAATAGAGGAGAAATAGTGCCTCTCAGATAGAATTTTGCAGTTTTCAGATCTTTTTCTTTCCAGTTTAATGTTTAAACTTCAAATGACCATCTTTCAATTCTAAGCATTCAAGCTTGACGTGGTATGCAGTTTTGAGTGTGATACCCATTATGTATTCTGGAAAGTATTTAGGGGCATTTAGAGATCTCAAGAAAGAGCAGAGAATATAATTTGGCTTAGGAAGTGCTTTTACATGTAAAATTAAAAGCCCATAGAATGATTTCAGAAGTCTATTGTCTGTCATATATCATAATTTAGAATTTTTATTAACAAACTTTTTACTATTGATATAATCAGATACCAATTCTTTTAGTGATAGCACTTTTTATTATGTTATGACATGTTTCATATAAAGTCACTTGTGTTATCACAAGCTCTTTAAAACATATTCTGAAGCCACTTTTATTTTTTCCCCATTAAATTTCTAAATTATAAGGAAAATTGTCCACATTTTGAGGAATAGGAGTGCCAGTGCTGATCAGGTAGAGGTAGGTCATTTATCAAACGAAGTTTTCTTTCTGTCTGAGGAAAGTACAAGAGTATTTCCAAAGGTACAGGGCTAGATTTTTAAAATAGTGATTGTATACTATGGGTATACAATAAGGGTGTCCGCTTTGATTTGTAATACAATTTAACAGTTAAGAAATATGAACTCTTTCTTTATTCAGTGTTCATCCTGCTTCTTTAGGGTCCCAGTTCACTTTACCGTCTGATTAAGTAAGATCAACAACCTTTTCTAATTTAGTGTAATTTAATTCCTTAGATTCTTCAGTGTCCTTTCACATTAATAACTGCTTTGGATAAAATTTATTATTTCTAAAGCATGTTTACTGCTCAAAGGTAATCTCAGAAATAATTATTCTCATTCACCTTACTGAAGAATAAGCAAAGTGGAAGGGACATTATTGTTACAGATATTCTGCACTTTGTGGAAAAGATGGAGAATGGGGTGAGGCAGTATTGTTCTCTGCAATCTTAGGTCTATGTCCTTGATGTGAGCACTTTTTTATACAGTTTGAGCCCAGAAATGAGCTAAAAAAGAATCTTTGAATATAAAATTTATAAGTATGCTGAGATTCTCTAAATGGGCCAGTGACAAGCTATACCAGGAATACATTTCTCATTTATATGGCTTGTATGTATGTCCATATCATGAAATAATTAGTATTTATTGCCTGTAAGTCTCCATTCCATCCTTTGATTGCTCTCTAGTTGGTAAATGAACTTGAACACACACTCAGTAACCTTTCTCTCTTGACTCAGGGGTGCAGGCTGTTAGTGCCTGAGGCAGATTTTGAGTTCATGATAAACTGAATATAAATCGATTTTTTTTTTTTAAGACTAGTTGTTGTTAATATCATTAGATTTTAGGAGCATCAATGTTAAAACGGAAAACAATGTCTAGTAGATAAGGGTCCTTTCAGGTTCCCCACAAAGAACAGAGCTACAGAACTATTTTACTTAGAATAGCTCACCAAGTTTACTTCTCTTTAAATTTCATCGTAGCCATGCCAGCTTTTGCAGCTTATTCTTTGCCCAGTGAATTAGAAGGGACAGGAAGAGCATTGCTGACCCCTTCTAGTTTATATCTTAGGGAGCCAACTGGTGATGAGTATTGTTTCAGTTAGACATAAAATTTAAAAATCTCCTGTTTGCTTTTCTGCTGCAATTCTGTCATAATTTCACTCTAGAAAATTGCCCTGTGATTGTGGTGGATGTGATATAATAAACATGTTGGAAAATTCTAAGGCCATCAAAATACTGAAATCAAGATGGGTAATTAATACTGCAGTGCATTTGCATGGGTGCTGAGTTTTCTGTGTTTACAAATAGGTCTATGTGTTCTGTGCTCTGAGCAATGTTGTCATAGTGCTGTGTGTAAACTGTGCTGCATCAGGGATTGGGAGATTAAATGGGGCTCTCTGATACGGGTACATTTATGTTAAGTTGTAAATGATGATGTAGTGTGGGATACTGTGATATTTTAAGTGATCATTGCCTTTTCTGCTGTACAATATGACCCTTCTCATCTCTCTCATTCATTTTGCATGCCTCTGCTCACTTCTGTACAGCCACAGTTGAGGCAATTGAGGCTGAAAAAGGTACGATCAGAGTCCTTGCGCTGGGCAGAGATCTGTGGTGTGTGGGTGGGCATCAGAGAATGTCCTGTGGGTGTATCTTACTCCTAGCTTGCACATCCCAAGATGAATCAGACTAACTGACTCATCAAGTTTAGCAGTCACATTCCTTTTGTTTTTTTCTTTAAAACAGGACTGATGTCCATAGTGACAGTCTGGTTTTTTCCCTTTCCTAATATAATATACAACCAGCATTTGATCTTCCTGTTTTCTTTATAGAACAGCATGTTATACTATATATTAAAGCATTTAAAGTTGCCTGTTTTAATGGAAATGGCTAAACTGACCCTGCAAATGGAAATTTATTCCATATTTTGCATGATTCTCTGCTACTCAGAATTTTTTTTCCTAAGTGAAACACCCTGTAGATTTGGTGTGAGTTTGTTTTACTCGTTTTCAGTAAAGCACCTGAGAGTGCAGGAGCTGTCACTATGATGGATTTTTTTTCTTTTTCTTTTTGCTGCAGTTTGGGCTATAGCTTGCTGATAAGATGGTATTTATGTATTTCATATGTTGGCTTAATATTACACATTGCTGAATGTTTTGCTGCCCCAGCCATGTGTCTGGTTCACGTGCACAGACTCTGAGTCACAGGGATTGCACATATTAAGCAACCAGATTATAACTAGTAGTACGGAAATCTTTTCTATGAACGTTTTAATAATGGAGGATGCATCATTCCAGATAAAGGGAATGAGAAACCATAACAATTGGAGGAGGATTGCCATTTATTTTGATTTGGGTTTTCAAAGAACATGTAGTCTATGGCCAGTGAATTAAGGAAGACATTTCCTAAAATATTAAACTATAAAATATTGTTTGCTGTCAGCCAAACACAGATCTAACTCCAGGAGGTATTTCCCACCTTTTTCATTTCATATTGGTGGTGATGGGGTGATAACACCTTGACCTCCGGGATAGTTCTGATCTATTAAGTTTAACTTAACTTGACCTCTTTCTCCTCCCAAGCTTTTGGTACAGATTTGTATGTTGAGGATTAACTTTGTTGAGCCTCCTCACTTGCCCCTACTCTTGTTGCTGCCTTACCGTGATAGTCACTGGTGATTTTAGGGTCTGAGGTAGGACATAATTGGTGTAGTAGAGGTCAGACGGAAACCCTGAGACCATTGCCTGGAGGCTGACTTTGGGGAGGGTTGTTTTTGTGTTTTTTTAAAAGTTCTGGTAACGCTTGTCATCTATGAAGTTATCATGCTTCTACTTGGGTTTAAACATTTCACATTTTAAGGGGAAATCTGGAATGGGGGTAGGATTCAGTTAAAGATTTAAGTATTGCTACTTACAGCTAATTTCTCTCTTCTTAAAAATTGTTAAATATATTTTTGAAATCTTAGAAATGTTTTTCAATTACTGACTTATCAAATTTGCATTTTGTTAAGCAATACGAGGATTCTCTCCACCACATAGAATCTGCAGTTTTGAAGAGGCAAAGGGTTTGGATAGGATCAATGAGAGAATGCCACCCCGGAAAGATGCTGTACAGCAAGATGGTTTCAATTCTCTGAACACCGCACATGCCACTGAGAACCACGGGACTGGCAACCATAGTGCCCAGTGACCCACGGCTTCCCAGGGACTCTCACATCTCGGGCCCCAAATGGACAAATCACCCGAGGAGCCGGAGGGGTCGGCCAAGTTGACTGTAAATGTCACAGTCCCTCTGGAGAAACCATTGTGCTTTTGAGACCCCAGCCCCTCCCTGGATGGAGGCCTGAGGGCCCTGGGACATGTATTATCTGATAAGTTTGGGTCTTCGCTGCCAAGATGGAGAGCAGAGAGCAAGGGGCTTGGGGCAATTACCAGTGGAGGAAGTCTATACCTCCATTTATGCTTGTGGTTCACACACTTAAGTTTACAAATGAGATTTCTTTTTCCCCTCAGTAGAATTAGATTTTGTTTTTCAACTATGACTTCAAATACAATTCTAAGAGCTAATGTGGACTTTTTTTTCTTTCCATGAAATGTCTTTAAAGGATGAATTAGCATGGTCTTAAAATACATTTCTGAGGTTACTAAGCTGTATTTTGAATTATGGGCAAAATGCTAAGAAACCCAGTTGGCATTTATAGAAAATGCTGACCTCAGGTCTAGAGTTCTTAAATGTGGCTAATTCTGTAACATAGTGTTGGTATTTTTCAATTATGAATGCATAACCTATTTCTAGGCAGAACTCTCTTACTTGAACACAAATCCAAAAACTAATTTAGGATCTTTTTTGCCCAGATCTTTTGAAATTTACACCCCAGAGATTTAAGAAGAAAACTTCTAAATTTCCAAATTATGAAGAATTACAGAATTACTCATTTAAGGTACTTTAAAAGAAGTTTGTACATTGTCAAAGTAAATTTTAATTCAAATCATGTCTGTAAAACTTGATGTATTTTGTGTATGCATGTTTTCATTTTGCAAATATTTAATATATAGACCTATGATGTACAGGTACGACATGTATAGGTTACCTAGATGTTATGAGAAATTTTAGTTTATCATGAGTACTCAAGTTGCTTAAATAGCCACCAGGGTGATTTGCTGCTGGCTTACTATCATTTTTATGTTTTAATGCAAAGGAAATTTTAAAAATGTTCTGGAAGTGTTTTTGATTAAGCAATGCAGCATAGAAGCAATGGTTCTGTTCAATCTTTCAGATGTTAGTGGAAGTATAAAAGTCGAGACTGCATGCTGAAATTTTTATTTTGATAGTTACAGAACTGCTTGGTTAAATTAAATGGAACCATGTGCTAATTTTTCACAATTATTGACCTGTATCGATTGCCACTGCAGTTTGGTATTTTCCTTTACTTTGGTGGCCTGCTTCCCTCATGCCCTGGAATACAACTCAGAGCTCCAGGCAGCGGAACCATCTATTGTTTTGTTTGCCAGAAAGTGCACCCTGTATGGTCTCCTGTCTCAGTTGGAAATATTATGCATGTGCAGGGCTATACGAGTATTTTATAAACAGTAGCACACAATAAATTCCATGCATGGGCCGCTGCTCCTATCTCTGTGTTGGGTTTTATTTGGAAGATGCAATCTGATCTGACCTCACGCAAATCAGAACATTCTGTTAATAGAACTGGGATATATCCCTCAGGGAATATTTTCTTCTGGATGATTCATGGTGATTTGATGAATTAAATTCTTCATAATTTTTTTCTTTTAACTTTCATTACATTTTTTATGCATACGTTTTAGTAACTGAGCCCTAGAGGACTTTGGATGCCTAATAGGGCCCCTAAATCTAATATTTAAAATCACTATCTTCACTTAACTTTAATTGAAGAAAATATGTTATTGTGGGTAATACTGTATTTTGTCTAGGATTTTGTTACAGTGGTATTGGGAATTAATTGGGTGTTTTAACAATAAGCAGAAAAAATACTAGCAATGTTGCATTTTCTTACCATCACATCTTTGCCATAATCAGGACAAGTATAGGATTTGGCAAATAATATAATATATAATCATATAGTAATTCTAATTATGATTCTCAAAATAATTATAAAAATACACGTTATAACAAATTGATTTAAATCGTGTGTACCATATTTTATGCAAATAACACGCACTTTCTACGTTTGCCAACTGCGCCCTTTGCCAGTAAGATATTTTCATAAGCACTGCTATGCCAATTTTTTTTTACATGTTGCTGTAAAAAAAAATTAGCGTGCTTACGATGGGGGAGGGGCATGGTTGGCAAACAAATGTAGAAGGCATGCGTTATTTGCATAAAAATACAATACTTACCTAATTTCAGGTAGCAAAGAAAACTTCTCAAATTGTTGATTATTACAGTTGCTATTTGCTATAATATTAACCTGCATACTAGCCCATGAGCTGCCTCTAAAGTTATCATGCACTGTATACTTTAAAGATTCTTGATGTTTATTGTTTTATGAAAGCTATGCGTCTCTAACGTGAGAGCTTAACTAGTATGTCAGGTACCCAGAACTTCCTTAGCCTGCAGGGCCATTACTAGGGTTGTAGAGTGTTTGTGGGAATCATGGATAGACATCAATCATCATTACCAAATGAGAAGAATGTGAATTGATGGTAAAAATGAAATGGAAGAGGAAAGTAAGAGAAAGGAACAGAACTCAGAAAAAGTAGTACACATTAAGAGTGGTAAGGTATCACCCAGTGTCTCACAGACTGCTTCCTACCTGCTGAACAGGAACCTCTTTTTATAGTCCTCATAACTGCTTTCACAGTGAACCATGGAAGTATTTATGAAGTTTTTTTAAAAATGCAATTCATGTTGCATGCAAATTGTGAAAACTTGAGATCTAGAGATCCTTCTAGATCTCGAGTTTTCACAGTTTGCATTCACCATGAGTTGTAAATTTAAGTGGCTACCAGAGCAAGTAGTAGTTGTGTGTCATTGAGTTGATTCCCACTCATAGTGACCCTATAGGACAGAGTAGAACTGCCCCATAGGATTTCCTACACTGAAATCTTTATGGAAGCAGATTGCCAGATCTTTTCTCCTGTGGAGCGTCTGGTGGTTCAAGCTGCCAACCTTTTGGTTAGTAGCCAAGTACTTAAGTGTTGTGCCACCAGGGCTCCTTAGCACAAGTAGTAGTGATGGTAAAATATAAATATCATTTTCAATATCAGATTTTATTTTTTACCTATCATCCCCCTTTGAATTGTGTTCAGAGATGACACTTTTGGGTTAGAAAAGACAACCTCTGACTTCTTGTGCCTTCTGCAGCACAGCCATTATTAGCAAAACCCATCCCTTTGAGGTTCTGACAGTTAAATTAGAAGTTGACCTGAAACCTTTGCTCAAAATGAATCACCCCTATTTGTATTCAGGGTTTTGCCTATGGTAAGTCATTTTGCTTTTTCCACAGCTATCTATATAATGTTATGTTTTGGTGAATCCTTACCACTTTTCTTTCACCTACCTGCTTATAGTTTGTGCTTTCTACAGGTTGGGGTTCCTTTGGAATCCATTTTCTGCATATATTCATATGTGGATTTGATTTGCCACATTTCAGGACCTTATTGCAAGTGGTTCTGTTCCCCAGTTTGATGATGGTTCGTGGAGGCAGGTAAGTGACAGAGCTGGGGCCAGACGTAAGTAGAACTCCAGGTCTTGCAGTCATATAGGACCACTGTCTTAGCAACTTCTGATAGGTTCTAGAGCTTGATACCTTAAGTAATAAGAAACTAGGAATGTGGCATTAAATTCCCTGATCAGCTTCTATTATAGGGAGGAATGAGGCAATGGTTGAATTGATTCTTTTCCATTTGTCGTGCCATCCTGGGCCTGTCTTATGTTTCTACCTTGCCTTTCTTAGAAATAGCATACATGTTAGTCATTAACTAAAATTTTGATCTTGCTTACTTTAATATTCCAGAACATTTATTCTTTTGAAGTAAACAAACAGGGATAGTGCCCCTGCCGACACCCTCATTCAGAGAGTACCTTATTCTCCTTTCCAAGAAAGAGAATTTTACAAATTAATTCTGGATGTTTTTCCTACAATTGATTTCCTTCTGTATCGTTAAGTAGCCATTTCTCTTCTCTTTTTTCCATTTTATATTTGTATTCAAACCTAGATTGAACACTGTTAAGTTCTGTTGGAGCAGTGTTTGTTATACCAAAAACGACGCTGAACTTGGGGGAACTCATCTGGATCTAGAGTGACATCTAGGACTCTAGGACTTCCTGTTCCTCTGGGCTGATGCCTATTCTTTCCAACCAGATACTGACTTCTGAACTAATCGCAACGAGTTTTATGTTTGTTGGTGGATTTGTTTGGTTTTAAAGCTCTGAACTGAGACCAGAAATGCTGTCCTGAGTAAGAGAGGCTGAGGAAGCAGTAGGCTTCATCTTCCCTCAGCCTGTCTGGCGTTTGGTGAGTTTGAGAGTGTTGACAGAGTCCTGAGCTCTCTTGGCAGAGAACACGGATCAGAAAGAGAGAAAACACTGGGCAGGGGCCAGGTCCCTGCTTGCCTCATTAGGGAGAATTCAGCCTGTCTGTCTGGTCAGACACACTTAATCACAGAGACCCAGCATTTCAGTAGTTGGCAGAGGAAAGTGATATGAAGGGACAGCTGCAAGTAAGCCACAACCTAGATCTGAGGAGATGAAGCACTCACTACACTTAGTGGATAGAGAGAAGGAAGGAAGCTGAGGGCTTAGCAGTATAAGTTACTTTTCCATCAGCCTGTCTGCTTGCTTAGTTTGTAGTTGAGTAAAGTGTTTGTCACACCAAGGAATGTTAATCACTGATTAAGCAGCTGAGTGTGGTCAAAATAGCGTTGTTCTTAAGGCATTTCTCATTTTCTTGCTCTCTTTCCTGGCCCCTTTTGAGACGCCTCTATGACCAGCTTCATTCCCCCTTCACCTCCCTGCCTCTCCAAAGACATTTTGTGTTTGCTGGTGAATTAGAGACAGTTAGGTGGGTCTTCCTGGTCTGGAGATGGTGAAAGGATGACTGTGGTTTAGGTATCTTACAGGTGAAACTTGGGGCTTTTGGTGTTAAAGAGGAAGAAAGATGGACACCTAAGTCTGAGAATAGGCTAATATTTTGTTTTGGAATTTGGAGATGAAGAATAAGAAATTTTCTATGGCTGTCTAGTTCATGTGGAAACCCTGGTGGTTAGTGGTTAAGTGCTATGGCTGCTAACCAAAAGGTCGGCAGTTTGAATCCATCAAGTGCTCCTTGGAAATTCTGTGGGGTAATTCTACTGTGTCCTATAGGGTTGCTTTGAGTCGGAATCAACTTGATGGCAACAGATTATCCAGTTCACATCTCCGCTCCTCTCCTCTCCAGTCCCTGGAGTTTTCTTTCTTACATACTGGGAATAAATTAGCCCAAACCACTGGGGATGATCAGAGAAAAGATGAAGTGATTCGCTTGTAGACAGGGTAGACTATGGGCTCTGGAAAGTGCCACAAGCTTACTGGAATTCTTTTCATCCTTTCCCCTTGTGTCCCCTCTGTTTTGTTTGTTTATTCATCTCAGCCCACCCCCCAGATTTGGAGCAGCCTGGGCTTGCAGGAAAGTTAGAACCAGGGGACCTGAACTTAGGCCTGGGGCACAGAACGCAGATGTGAGCCGATGATAATCTATAGATGCAAATGCAAAGACCTGGCTCCTCACTCCTACCTTCTTACCTTCCTGCCAGAAAGCTAGCTCATTTGGGTCATGAATATACTCTAGAGACAAAGGAGACTGACATCAGGGATTTCACCACCACCTCCCCATGCTGTGTGATTCCTTTGACTTCCAGCCAGTTAGACCAACCCCCAGAAAGCCAACAGTTAATCTTCCATTGGAGGAAAAACTGTTCCTTGGAAATGGGGATAAGTGAGGCAATACCTTTCTGACCTTATTTAGCTTCCATTACAGCAGAAAGTCTTATGGTTGAAAATCAGGAAGATATTTATAGTTCCTGGGATTTAAGACCCTAGAATTGTCTCAGATCAAAGATGTGTATCCTCCATACCTGTAAAGAAAAGATAGATCCTTTTCATCAAGGTTGAAGGAGGTGTTATCCTGCCTGAAGGTGGATGGATAAAGCAGATAAATGATTTTTTTCTAGAGCTGTAATAATTCTGGAAACGTGATGAGAATATGTGTTGGTTAAAATTGGGGGAAGAGTCAGATTAGTTCTTGGAAATGGATTCCGAAGGTGAGAGGAGCAATTCCATCCACACTTTAGTAAAGGGACAAGACCCTTAAGCCCTAAAATATAATAATATCTTTAAGTCCTGTTTCTTCATTGGTAGGAATGAAGAGGATATGGTATTCAGAGGAGCTCAGCTGTTTCTATTCTGTGGACTCTGAATCCGTCCATTCACCCTTGGGATGAAGGGAGAGATTAAAAGACTAGAAACATCTGGAAGAGGAGAAAGAAAGTACAAAGTAAAATAAAAATTAGTTCTTCCATTAACCTGAAGGCAGGAGTTTGCAAAGGCCATATTGTAAGATATGCATATGAGCTGGATGATTCTGGGAGTTTGTTTTTTTACCACCTACACCTCAGCTGAATGATGATTCTGTAGTTTTTCTTTATGACCTAGCAGATCTGGTCTAGAAAGATCAAAAGAATATTTTTGTGATAAGACATGATCCCTGATCTGAACTTAAATAGGTACCACATTCACAGTAGAACCAACCACTGTCACCATTTTTATCTTCTCATTTCCCCAGAGACAGTTAATCTGGGGGTTAATACTTTTTTAGCTCCTCAATCTTTATAGATCCTTACTTCCTTCGTCCCTCCCTCCCTCCCCCTCCCCCCTCCCCTCTCCTCCCTCCTTCCTTCCTTCCTTCTTCCTCCCCTCCCTTCCTTTCCTCCCCTCCCCTCTCCCCTTCCCTCTCCCCCTCCTTGCTTTCCTTCCTTTCCCTTTCCTCCCTTCCCCCCCTTCCCTCCCTTCTTCCCTCCTTCCCTCTTCCCTCTTCCCTCCCTTTTCTTCCTCCCACCCTTCCACCCTTATTTAGGTGAAATTCACCTAATGTAAAATTAACCGTTTAAAAGTGAACGTTTCAGTGACATTTAGTATATTCAAATTGTTGTGCAACCAGCACTTCTGTCTAGTTCAGAACATTTTCATCACCCCAAAATAAAACCCTGAACCCATTAAGCAATTACTCACCCCCACCCCCACACCCAGTTCCTGGTAACCACCAATTTGCTTTCTATCTCTAAGGGCTTATCTATTCTAGATGCTTCATATAAATGGAATCATACAATTTGTGACTTTTTGTGCTTTTTCACTTAGCATAATGTTTTGAAGTTTATTCACATTGTAGCATGTATCAGTACTTCATTCCTGTTTATGGCTGAATAATATACTGTTATATGGATATACCACAAGTTGTTTATTTATTTATCCCCTGATGGACATTTGGGCTGTTTCTATCTTTTAACTATTGTAAATAGTGCTGCTGTAAACATGCATGTGTATGTATTTGTTTGAGTACCTGTTTTCACTTTTTTTGGGTACATACTTAGGAGAAGGTTGCTGGATTGTGTAGTAATTCTATATTTAACTTTTTAAGGAACCGTCAAACTGGCTGCACCATTTTACTTTTCAGCCAGCAATGTACAAGTGTTCCAATTTCTCCACGTCCTCACCAACACTTATTTTCCATTTTCTCATTACATCTTGCATGCTGTGTTGCTTCACCTTTTGTCTCCTTTTTTGCAGTCCATCCCATCTCCAACTCATTGTACATATTGCTAATAGATAACTTTTTCAAAAACCCTTCTAATTATATTGCTTTCAGCTCAGAAATCTGAATTAGAGTCCTTTTGTAAATTACTGAAGAAAGTCTAAACTCCTTAACATTGCATTTGATCTTAATCTATCTTGTTAACTTATATCCCACCATATCTTTGATGCCTTCTTTAGATTTAACAAAGGAGCCCTGGTGGTGCAGTGGTTAACCACTCAGCTGCTAACTGAAAGGTCAGTGTTTGAACATACCTCCGGAGAAAGATGTGGCCATCTGCTTCCATAAAGATTACAGCCTTGGAAACGCTATGGGCCAGTTCTACTCTGTCCTACAGGGTTGCTGTAAGTCAGAATCGAATCAGTGGCAATGGGGTATGGATTAGATTTAACAGTCGAACTCAGACATTCTATTTCATTCCTTTCCAGAATGTTCCCAGCTACTTTTCTATGCTCACACTCTTCCCTCTGCTTGGAATTCTTTTGTCCTCCATCTCCATGTATTTACATTATTCCTATCTTTTAAGGTCCATTCTGGATGCCACCTCCTTCATGAAGTCTTCCTTTAGCTCACTAACTAAAGATAAACTTGTCTTCTGACCTCCCATGAGTTGCTTTAATTTCACTTTTCTTATAGGATTTACATACTGCCTTATTGTTTACATCTAATCCCCCCTACAAGACATTTATATGATATTTTTTTCATATATTTGTTTCCATATAGTATTTTGCAAATAATTTATCAATAAATATTTATTGAATGCATAAGTTTTTTTTTTTTTTTCTTTCCGCAACTGGCCCCTTTTGTCTGCTCAGCCCTTGTGGAAGGATGGGAGGAGGGAACAGGGAAGGAGACATCACAAAGTCCCAGCTACGTAGGTGGTGGGTGTAGGCTGTTCTGTTTCAAAACTTGCCTTTTAGGAAATTTTTTTCTTTAATTTGCCTAACCTGCTTTCACTACACAAGTTTTATTATTGTGGTGCTCATTTGTATTGCATTTAATTTCTACTTGCTTATAAATGTGATGGTAGGTCTTTTAAAATGCATATTTTGTTTCCTGAAGTAGATTAGACTGGCTAATTCCCCAGTTATATTGTAGTTTTAAACAACATTTTCTGTTGTTTTTCTTCTAAGTTGATTTTTAAAATACACTAATAATATGTGAATATAGTCTTATAAAAAAGTCAGACATTACAGGTAAGTCTGAAGTTCCCATTTATCAACCTAGCTCCCATCCCAGTGCCTTTTCCCGTCCTCAGAGTTAATCACTGTTATCAGTTTTAAATAAGCCCTGCCAGACCTTTTTCTATGCATTTACAACATACATAATTACGTTTTATATATATAACTTTATATGTGACACACATATATGTAAAAATTATATGTAATTATTTCCCCTCTATTTTTCACAACTGCCTGTGGTAGTCAGTAATCAATAGATATTAAATAAATATTACAGATAGCTGAGAAGGGCCTGAACCTGAGAGACTAGAATGAGAAGTGAAAGGTCAGTTCTAACATATGAACACACATTATATGTGTCCAGCTTGCAAAACTCCATTCCATATTTGTTCTACATATAGTCCCCAGATACCAGTGGACAGGCCATGGCTCCATGGTCCCAGCAACAAAAGCACAAGAAACCCCCCTCATCGGTGGCTCCCATGGTTGTGACCCCACCCAAGGCTGTGACCCCTGTGCCTCTGACCCTCTCAAAACCTGCCCTAGCATTGATGCATTTGGCTTCGTCTCTTTGGAGAATAATGTTCCTGGCCTATCCCAGCTGATCCTGCAAAAGCTGAACATGAAAAAGCTATGAAGACTACAAGTGAGTGTCCAGCTCTGTGGGAGAGGGATGTGTTATCTCTAATAGAAGTAATTTCAGAAGGTAGAGAGGGAGTATAATTTGGGGAATACAGGGTATTTGCAATGAGGATTTTTCTCATTCTTGACTCTTGCCAGTTTTATTGCTATAAAGGAAATATAATTTGCTTAAATGAAGAGTAATGATGGGATTAGGGAACATGGGAGTAGGGAGTGTGTAGGAGAGGTGGGGGACATGAGAGATTTTGTAGACATTCTTTTCCCTATTTCCACTCCTCCTCCATGCTGTCTCTGCAGGTTGGTGATAGATGGGGGTACCCCTATATCAGGCTTTGGATTTCGATGTCTTCAAGAAATGTTTCAGAGGATGGAGGACACATTTCGATTCTGTGCTCAATGTAGAGCACTCCCTAGTGGCCTTTCAGACTCCAGGGTCCTCAGATACTGCAAGAGGTGACTTGTGAAGATAATGGGGGGACATCCAGAAATAACCCTATTCTGAAACTGCATTCCTAGAGGAAAGCTCTGAGAGATTTCAGAGTAACTTAGGGCCCATTCTCATTTTGTATGATCCAGGCCACAGAGATTAGAACAGGGATGGGCTCCTGCCTATTTTTAGTAGTATGCGAGAGGCTGAGACAGAGAATCCTCTTTACCTCCTTTCTCTTGAGTACCCAGGGGGTAAGATGAGGGTCCTGAGGAGGATGAGGGTCAAGAGTCGTACCTGTGATGGGAGGGCAGCCACAAACTCCCAGTGTTTTTTTTCTGTTAACAGATGTGAATGGTGAGTTGTTCCAGACAGAGACTGATGTGTCACTCTGACCTAAGAAAATAATTATATTCCCAATAGCTCCTGCCTTCCCCCCCACCCAAAAAAAAAAAAAACCATGGGCCCCAAATTTGGTATATCATGTCACTCCTCTCCCCACTTACCCAGTGATCTTTCTTCCTAGGTGCAGGAATATCATCTATTTCTGTGGCTCATCCTCTTAGTTGCAGAAATGTCTATTACTGTGGTCCAGAATGCCAGAGGTTAGACTGGCCAGCACACAAGAGGGTCTGTCAAGTGCTGCGTCTTGTAGCTGTGGACCGTCTCATGGAATGGCTTCTGGTTACAGGTGGAATGGTGGTCCTAGGGAACACTGCCATAGTGGTCAAAGTTGGACAAAGATATGAAAGCATGTTATGAGGAACTGGGGAAGGGAACTAGGGCATCCCTAGTTACAGGTTGGGGGAGTGAATATGGAGGAACTATTGAACATTAGTGAGGAGGGAATTTGGAAATCAGAGAAGGATTAGGTCACGTCTCTTATTCCTTCTTTCCTGCAGGTGATTTTGTCCTACTCTCAGGACCCTGGCCATGGCCGGCTGAAGTTGTACAGGGCTGGTACACCTGGTTTTCTATGTGGAGGTTACATCTAAATTCTACACTGGATGCTGTGCTAGGTAGTCATGCCATGACCACCCTGTGGGCCAGTGTAAGATGACCAAGGCCAGGCTCAGATGTTCTGCGGGACTCTTTGAAATGGCTGCAGACAGATACCTTGTCACAACCCTTGACTCTGGGCTTAGGGCTTCGGGCCTTGGGGACAGATGTCGGGAAGGCTGGCGGATGCACAGTGAATGTGGTTGGTGCTTCCCATGTGGAGACATTCCTCACTCGCCCTGGGGACTATGATGAGCTTAACTACATGTTTCCTGGACACCTTGGCCTCCGTGTGATCATGATTGGTGTATATGTGGCTACTGACTTTTCACAGAGCACCTCAACTTCACTCCTGGAACCTGGCACATTTCAGCTTAGCAGCCAAAGAGGTCTCTATCATGGCTTCTGGGAGGAGCAGGTAGAGACTGGGCAGATAGCCCATCAAGATTTGGTGGTAGGATTCCATCCAGGTAAGAGTCATGGGTTTAGGGGATTATTGTGTGGCTCCCCTGGGAATCCTGACCTTGTATCTTCTGTCTTTGGAACTCCATTAATTTGGTCTAGTTAAATTCAACAGGATGATGACCTTGGTTGATCATTAGCCATATGTGCTACACCTGTGTGCATAATGCTCTGTTGAAGAGCCTGGGGTGGGTGATGGTGGTAATGATGAGTACTGGGGGTGAGCAAAGTGAGGGATAGGGTAGACACAGTCAAGAAGTATCTTGCTTAGGGTCTACCTCAAACTTTCCCCTCCCTATTCCCATTTCTACTTTTGTTTCATAGGTTTCCATTCCTCTCCAGACTTGATGGAGGCTTGGCTGCCCACCCTGCTGCTGCTTCGTGATTATAAGATCCCCACACTGATGACCATTTACAGGTTTTGACCTCTTCCCATTTGTGATACCTCCCAGACTCACTCACACCTCCCTTTATATAGATGAGTATATTTCTCTCCACCTTGCTCATCTTCTGCCTTCTGGTGAGAATTCTCATTCCCACTTGGCTTTCTCTTCCTCCTGGAACAAAGTCCAGTTAATAGGGAATTTAGTTAAACACTTGAGAGGGAGAGATAGCCCTACCTAGTCTAGCCTTAGATGACTCTTGGGATTGATGAGTCTAGAAATGTCAGGCTCTTGAGCAATTTTTCCCCTCTCTCTCATAATCATTAGAGCAATTTTTCTTATATCTCTCCATAGCCATCAGGAGTTGACAGCCTCTTTGCAGATTCTGGTGGACCTGGATACACACATCACTGCCTATGGAGCTAACCCTTCCACATCCCTCAAACCCAAACAGGTCTATTCCAACCCCAACAAGCAGCCAGTATACTGCAATGCCTACTATATCATGTTTCTTGGAAGCTCCTGCCAGCTGGATAAGAGACAACTGGAAGAGAAAGTGGATGGCAGGGTTTAAATAGCTGAGCCAAATACTGACTGGTTGCCTGGAAAGCTGGGAGGTTGTGATGAAATTACTCTTCTAATGTCAGATTGTTGCCAACTTTGAAACCCACTATATCCTCAATCTCATTCGTTGTCCAGGTAAAGATTCTAAGCTGAATGACAGCTCCTATGATGTGACTTATTGCTAAGAGGTTAAACCACAGTAGCTTCTAGGGACACCAGTCTTGGTTTAATGGGTGACAAGGGGCCCTGGTATCTGTCTTTCCAAAGACCGTGTTCCTAACAGTTTCCTTTGTGAGAAAGTCGTAATTCTTTTTTTTTTTTTTTGAAAGTCGTAATTCTTGACTTGAACCAGATGGCAGTATCTTCTACTAGAGAAGAAGAGTGAGAAGATAACTACCTTATTCTGGAAAGAAAAAAAACTTATCCAGCAATTTTCGATAAAGAATGGAAAGGTGTCAGTGACTTGAAATGGTACAAGAATGGACAAGTCAGAGAATGGGTTGGGAGCATGGAGTTGGTTGTGAAGACTGGTAGTTTTATTTCCTGGCTTTTTCAAGAGAAATAGCTCATTTTCCCATTTTCTCTTGGGGATTTCTGTTCCTAGAACAGCTTTTGGTCCCAGTGTTATAATTAGACATCCTGGGATATATCAGACTTAACCTGAATTTATTGGCATTATTTGTTACCACCTGGTCTATACATAATCAACTCAGTTTGGACCTTCTTAAACTACTTGTTTTATCTTACTTTGTAAACACTGGCAAGTATTACTTATCTGTACATAACACCTCAGCATTGCCAAGGGAGTGATTAGCATCAGCTTTCTGTCTGGGCTTGCCACTCTACCACACCTGTGTCATGGATTGAACTGTGTCCCCCAAAAAATGTGTGTAGCAACTTGGCTAGGTCATGATTCCTAGTATTGTATGATTGTGTTATCTGATGTGATGTCCTTATGTGTTGTAGACTCTACCACTATGATGAGATTATATGTGATCTCCTCATGTGTTGTAAATTCTGTCACTGTGATGAGGTTATACTGATGAGGTTGACAAGATCAGTGTCTTAATGCAATCTCTTTTGAGATATAAAAGAGAGAAGCGAGCAGAGACACATGGGAACCTCATACCACCAAGAAAGCAGTGCTGGGAACAGAGCGCATCCTTTGGACCTGAGGTTCCTGCGCAGAGAAGCTCCCAGACCAGAGGAAGACTGATGACATGGACTTTCCTCTAGAGCCAATGGAGAAAGTGTTCCCCTGGAGCTGATGCCCTGAATTTGGACTTGTAGCCTACTGGACTGTGAGAGAATAAATTTCTCTTTGTTAAAACCATCCAATTGTGATTTCTCTGTTAGAGCAGCACTAGATGACTGAAACACCTTGTTTCGTGATACCTTTCTCTTTTCACACTCTGAGGATTAGGACATTCTCTAGGTACTCATTCCAACAATCTTCCCATGACTTCCCCACCCCAATAGACACATACACACTCTTATTGCCCACTCTAATAGGGGTAATGCTAGAATTCATTTATTCATTTAAAACATTTAGTACCTGTCATGTGAAAGATACTGTATAGGGGCTTTTGGGAGATACAAAGTGAATGAGACACAATCCTTATTCTTAACCTAGGAAGCAAAATAATAATAGATATACAAAGATAACTTTATCACAGGGTGTAATGAACCCTGGTGGCACAGTGGTTAAGTAGTTGGCTGCTAACCAAAAGGTTGGCAGTTCGAACCCACCAGCTGCCTCGCAGGAGAAAGAGGTGGCAGTCTGCTCTTATAAAGATTACAGCCTTGGAAACCCTGGGAGGCTTTTCTACTCTATCGTGTAGGGTCTCTATGAGTCAGGATCGACTGACTTGACAGCAATGTAGAATAAGAACTGTGAGAGAGGCTTGCTATGCTAAGAAAATAGAGTGAAAGAGCTATCACTTTGCTGAGTTATAGTGAAGGTTTTGTGAATTAGAATTTTATTAAACAGTTTTGTGAATTAGACTTTTATTAAACAGGGCAGGGCATTACAACTGGATAGAACAACAAGAGCAGAAATTCAGAGGCGGAAACGCCATATTTTGGGGTACTGTCTCAGGCTGGGTTCTCGATAGGAGCAAAACCAGTGAAGCGTATAGAGAGATTTATTTCAAGGAAATGGTTCATGAAGTTGTGGAGGCTGGCAAGTCCCAAATCTGTGGGTCAGGCATCAGGCTGGAGGCTTCTCCTAACTCGTGGTTGCAGGGGCTGACGAACCCAAAATCGGGTCAGACGATAGCTGCTGGCTCACAGGTCTGCAGGAGCTGGTAAATCCCAAAATCCGCAGGTGAGACAGCAGGCTACTGGCTTCACATTCCAAGGACCAGATGGTAGTTTTGGCAGAAGCATTGAGTGCGGGGATGGCATATCCAAATCCAGAGTAAGTGTCTATCCCAGTAAGAACAAAATACTGCCCTTTCCATGAAGAAATGGTCCAATGTCATCAGCCTGCCACCAGGTTACTAGCTGATCGCCCCTAGAAATGGTGCCATATCAGGGACTCAGTGTTGGTCTTGCTGCTGACAGATTGGGCACTCAGCAGTGGCGGTAGCCATGTTGGCTTTGGTGAGTGGAAGTCCATGTTGCTGAGCCCATGCATAACCTCCATCCCTGCCACTATGGCCACTTTGTTCATGAGCCTATTGGGCAATGACAGGAGTGGCTGGGGAAAAAGGCTGACCGATATCCATAGAACGCATCATCCTATCTACTTAATTGTTAAAATTCTCCACTGCTGAGGTCGTCCTTTGGTGAGCATTCACATGAAACACAAATATCTTCATTTCTTTGGTCCCCATTCAGAGAGGTCTACCCACATGCCTCTTCCCCATACCTCTTTGTCACCAGTTTTCCAATCATGTTCCTTCCAAGACCCTGACCATCCAGCCAAACCATTGGCCACAGCCCATGAATCAGTATACATTTACATATCTGGCCATTTCTCCTTCTAAGCAAAGTGAACAACTAGGTGCACTGCTCGAAGTTCTACCCATTGGGAGAATTTCTGGGAGGTCCCAGAAAGGGGCTGTAGTGCTGCCGCTGTCCACTTTTGAGTGATGCCTGCAGAACCATTTGTAAACCAGGCACGAGTTTTCTCTTCCTCAGTCAGCTGATTGAAAGGAACTCTCATAAGGCCATAGGTGCAGACTGGGAGGTGGAAGGTAATGTGACAGGAGTGGAGACCATGGGCATTTGGGCCACTTCCTCATGCAACCTACTATGCCTTCAGGTCCTGCTCAGGCCTGATCTTGTATATACCATTTCCATTTAATGATGGAGTGCTGCTGTGCATATCCGACTTTATAGCTATGTGGATCGGACAACACCTAGTTCATGATGGGCAGCTAAGGCTGCATGGTGACTTGATGGCCCATGGTTAAGCGTTCAGTCTCTACTAAGGCCTAGTAACAAGCCAAAAGCTGTTACCCAAAAGGAGAGTAATTATCTGCAGAGGAAACTAGTTATGACAGGGCTTAGCTACAAAATCCTAAGGGTCTGCCCTGTAATTAACCAATAGGGGCCTTCCAAAGACTCCAAAGAGCATTTCTACCTGCCACTGCCACTTGAAGCACCATTGGATCAGCCAGATCATATGGCCCAAGGGGCAGAGCAGTTTGCATGGCAGCCTGAATGTGTTGCAGAGCCTTCTTTTGGTGTGGGTCCCACTCAAAACTAGCAGCTTTTAAAGTCACTTGATAAATAGGCCAGAGTAGCATGCTCAAATGAGGGATATGTTGCCTCCAAAATCCAAAGAGACCTACGAGGCATTGTGCCTCCTTTTTAATTGTAGGAGGGGCCAGATGTAGCAACTTACATCTTTCACTTTAGAAGGAATATCTCAACATGCACCACACCACTGGACTCCTAAAAATTTCACTGTAGTAGAAGGTGCCTGAATTTTTGTGGGATAAATTTCCCACCCTCTAGCACGAAAATGTCTTATGAATAAGTCTGGAGTCATTGATACTTCTTCCTTACTAGGTCCAATCAGCAAAATGTCATCAATGTAATGGACCAGTGTGACATCTTATGAAAGGGAAAGGTGATCAAGTTCCCTACAGACTAAATTATGACATAGAGCTGCAAAGTTGATATAACCCTAATGTAGGACAGTGAAGGTGTATTGCTGGCCTTGCCAACTGAAGGCAGACTGCTGGTGGTGTTTTGAAACCAGAATCAAGAAAAAGGCTTTGGCCAGGTCTGTAGCTGCATACCAGGTAGCAGGAGGTGTACTAATTAGCTCAAGCAATGAAACCACATCTGGAACAGCAGCTGCAATTGGAGTCACCATCTGGTTAAGTTTATGATAATCCACTGTCATTCTCCAAGATCAGTCTGTTTTTGCACAGGCCAGATAGGCGAGTTGAATGGGGATGTGGTGGAAATCACCACCCCTCCATCTTTCAAGTCCTTGATGGTACCACTGTCTTTGCAATCCCTCCAAGAATGCTGTATTGCTTTTGGTCTACTATTTTCCTAGGTAGGGGGCAGTTCTAATGGTTTCCACTTGGCTTTTCCTACCATTGTAATCCTTATTCCACATGTCAGGGATCCAGTTTGGGAGTTCTTCCAGTTGCTGATTATGCTATTCCTATTAGGCATTCTGGAATTGGGGAAATCACTACAGGATGGGTTCAGGGACCCATTGTGAGATGGACCTGAGATGAGACTCTGTTAATAACCTGACCTCCATATACCCCTACTCTGACTGGTAGGCCGCAGTGACATTTTGGGTCTCCTGGAATTAGTGTCAGTTCAGAGCCCATTTCCAGTAATCCTTGAAACGTCTGATTATTTCCTTTTCCCTAGTAAATAGTCACTCTCATAAAAAGCTGTAGATCCCTTTGAGGAAGGCTGGGAGAAAGATTAATGGTACAAATTTTGGCAGTGCAGTGGTGTTCTGTCTCAAGAGGACATGGCCTCCCCTTCATTCAAGGGGTTGTGGGTATGTAAACTGGCTCAAGTCTGGGAATTGATCAAGGGGCCATGACTTTCTGTTCTGGCAATTCAAATTAGACTGCCATTCACCTGACCTAGAATCATTCCGCTTGTACAGATCAAGTGAATATTTAGTAGATTTCCCATCTATTTTACTGCTAGGGACACCAATGCCGTAAGTCCATATGAGTCAGACTATTCTGATTACTGCTTTGACTCTGCTGTCCATTACGGTAACCATGCCTACTTTGTCTTTATCGATTAAGTGCTGCCACTTGGCCCTTACCACCATGGGGTCCAATCAGCCTCACTGTAGTTAGATGTCTTAATTCTTTTAGAGCAGTTCCCACTGTCAAATCTGACTTATATAAAATAGCAATCACAGCAGTCTTCAAGGATGCTGTGGCTCCCTACACGAATGTGTTCCTCACCGTTGTGGTAAAAGGTGTATCCTCTG